ATGGTAATCAATACCTTTATGCTCTAGATGATTTGTTATGGAGTCTTTTGTATTTTTTCGCTGTCGTAGGATGCTGCAAAGGTTTTGTGTTTTGGACGAACTATCAAGGGTTCTACGCTCTTCTGCGAGGGCTTTCATTCGGCGTCTTTCTTGAAGTGAAAGGAATGTTGTATGTATCTGATTCAGTACATGAAATCCTTTCAAAATAAGGCACTTTTTTCTTAGCCTTCTTAGTTTATGTCGAGTTTTCCCATCTATATATAAAGTTGTTTTCTGGCCGAGCTTGGTGGGTGCAATCGTTTCCCGAGCGGAACTAATAATCCTGCAAAGTCCGTCGAGGGTTTGAGACAGATTACAGCTAGCAAAGAAGCCTTCCCAATCGGAGCATCTTATAGGTGTCTGGAGGAGCTCCCAGCCAGCATCCTTGATGTCCTTGTATAGGTAGTATTTTGGTGTTGCTTCGTGTACACCCTCGCCAGCTACTAGAAGTGGCAGAGTGCAAAGCCATGTTCTATGATCTCTGCTTGAAAATTTTTCTCCCACCTCTGTGTCGCAGTTTAAGCGCCTTATCAACTTGCTTTTGGGTTCATATGATATCTGCGGTCTGTTTGTAGATAGATGCCCTTCAACAGAGGCACTCAGAGATGGCTATGTAGGACCCTAGTGTCTTCAAGGTAGTGAAGTTTATAGTAACTTAAGAATAAATGCAGGTGGGATCTGTCTCTATGGTCTATTCAATAAATTAAATAGCTCTTAATTTGGAACGGTGAGGACAGTGTGTGTCAGGCAGTTCCCCCTCCGTTGTGTAGCCGGTACCATCGTATTAAGTTGGTCCACATGGTAAACAGGATACTCATCTGACTGAAAACGACGTCCAAATCCATTCAGTTGTACCACCGAAAAGTCTGTTCTCAGAATTCCTCACAAATGTCCATACATCATATTGTGTTACTTTCTACACACTATGACTCCCACTAATTCACTTCTTCAAGCCGAAACTTCGTATTCAAAGGCCTCTGCATACGCCCGTATGCATGGCGACCACTTTTTCCTTGTTTCTTAAATTCCCAACTAGACGTCTCGACTGATATGTTTCGCCGCCCAGACAAATAGTCCCAGCGCTATACTTTGTAATTATCGTGCATAAAAGTCACTGACTTTTATCCCGCCATAGTTTATTACAGAAAAGACAGATAATTGTCGTGCAACAGCTCTTAAATCTACATTTGACCTCTCTTTTTTTGGTTATTGTGTTCATATTCTTGTTTCTCATTGACTTAGGCATGCAGTAAATTGTTCCATACCCATGTTTCTTTTTCTTTCCCATAGGTAGATTCACAATGAAACCGCTGCATACTCATTAATTTGACGGTTCACCTCAAATTTGTGGCTCCAGTCGGGATTGTTCCTAGAAATGTTGACGTCACATGCTGTTTGTATCCGAACAAGCAGGCTCTCTGACTAATAGCACCCACTCACGTCACAGAGAAGAGAACCGAAACTGACCTCTCGTGAAGCGTCAACCTTGAAGACATTTTGAGTGGTTTAATGATGAGACGTTAAGCTTCGTGGGCTGCAGAATGAGAACGGTTTCTGGACAGAGTCATAACCTTAGCTTAATTTGTCCCCTTGAATTTGTTTCCAATGCACTGAACCAAACAGTCACTACATGCTGCATGATACCAAGTGACACCAGTTTCAGGCTATGTCATCGGTCCATACCATGGTTTGAACCTAGTTTTACGTGCTCTCTATGAACAGCAATAACTTATTGGTTGTCCGCAACTTTTTAAGCCCTACTATTGTTCGGCTTTTGATATTCAATGTACGTTTACCGATTATTAATTGAAGGGTAGAGGCCTAATAGTAGGTGCCTGCTTAAAGCTCGTGCTGGGTGATAAAGCCTGTGCTATTATTCACTGCTGTTACATGGCGAAAGGGTTAGTAACTAATATGTTTGGCCAGCAACAGTTGAATAACTGCATCCTGGCAGACTGTGTATGGTGTACCAGTGTGTCCTTTCTTACTTTTCTCAGACTCCCAAACAACAATAACATTCAGATGTTGCCTGTACGAATGGCATGTGTTCGCATAATTTATTATTCGAAATATATCATTATTATTATTGTGGACAGTGGCTCAATGTTGTGACGAAGTACCAGGTCAACGGTGTTATTGTTTCAAGTGGTGGAGTGCACGTATTGCCGCCAACCGTTTGTGTCGGTGGCTGCTAGGAGCCTGTTATGGTTTTTGAGGCCTGTGCACACGTTGCAGTTCACACCAGAGGGGTTGAGATCACCGCAGATCATCTTAGAATTCAAGTCTAGAGTGGTGGTGTGCTCGATTATTTCGTAGATGATCTCACTAACTGCTGTGGAAGTGTTTGGTGCCCTATATGGACATCCGATGAGGAGCTGGTGTTTACTGATGATTGCACTTGTCCATGCACACTCCGGAGTTTTATCTAGTTCAGGATTTGGGTAGGTGTCGGTAATAATAGAGCTTAGCGCACAGATGAGACATCCCCTTTTTTATGGACTTGGTCCTGTCTGTATACTCTGTATCCACCGACTGTAATGTGTGCTTCTGATAAATCTGGAGCTAGTCAGGTCTGTGTAACCAGAACCAGTGTCTGTTGTTTTAGGATTGTTGGGGCTCGAAGGGCTGATATTTTACTTACTATGGATCTTGCGTTAATGACCAGTGTTGTTAGATATAAAGGGTATCGGGAGAGTGAAGTGAGGTTATTACTTGCAACTGCTTCGTCAGTGTGCTGATATATATCGTAGTTTTCCCTACCCCATTTCAAGCTATGCTGCGCATGAGTAGTAGGTGTTCTGCTTGTTGCTGTCACTAGTAAATATATCAAGGGAAGGTGGTGCCGTTCGGCACGTATCTTGGTAATACTCGACAGGCAACACCATGAACATCCCCCGTCCGTGACCAGATAAAGGGTGGCTACCGTCTTACAAAAAGCCATGAATTTCACTTAAATGCTTATAACTCCATCAAACGTTTGTACACAGGTATATAAGAAGTGAATATCTGGTCCAAAGTCCTCTAATCTCTCTATTTGGTAGTGATATCTTCGGCTTCAGACTAATTTTCATTAACATCTTGAGTACCCTCATCCTTTTCCACCTAAGCTTGCCTCTAAACAGTTGGTTCTGGATACTCCTTGAAGTAAGTTTTGCGGTCAGTACAAAGAGCTTGCCCAAATTTTTGGTGGTTGATCTAATCCTGCCTATTTTTGTGCTCCTGTTTCGAATTTCGCCTGCTGCTCGCTTTTGTTATTCACTTTTCAGGTTTGCCTGACCACTCCTGCATTTAAATGGAAACCTAGAAATCGCATTTGTCATTGGGAACCTTGCCATCAAACCCTTATGGCGAACACGCACACCTCAAGGTCATGACTGTGATGCGGCCCAACCTTCAAGAACATCGGAAGATTCAAGCGATAGCCGAATAATCCCTAAATTCGAACTGAGCCTGCTTCAGCACACCTCTTATATCCCATAAACAATGGTGTCCAATGTATAGCTTGACATTGTACATAATAGTCATTTCTCATTACCAAAATGATCAAACCTGCAAACTGGTTTGTATTCATGTAACCTTTATTGTATGAAATATATTATCATTATTCCAGGCTTCGCTACCGGTTGTGATGCCATTATGGATGCAGTAAATGGGTTCGGCGATAGGAGAGGTCGGTAGTGGAAGAAACTGGGCTGCATATTTGTGCTATCAAGGATGTAGTAATTTTGAGACCAAGTACGGCTCATCTGTGAGTTGTACCGCTCTTCACCTACCAGGCGAGTTCGTTTCCCCCTCAACTTTCAAACACGTTCTTGACGGAACATCTTACGTCACCAGGCTTAAAAACGCAGTGCGTTCAGTTAGGCCTACTCCTATTAGACCTCAAACGGCTGATGTTTTCGTTCACCCCGTTTTACAAAAGACGTCACACGTGCTCATTCGCCACGATGCAGTTCCTCAATCACTTGAACCACCTGACGATGAACCGTTCAAAGCGATGAAGCCTCACTAGAAATTCTACATAGTCGAGTGAAACGGATGTGAAGATACTACTAGTACTGACCATTTGAAACCAGCTTTTTCCGAAGACAACCCCACCATAAGTGACATTTCAGCTCACTACAGCTGGCCGGCGGATAGCCCAATTAACGAAATCCTTGACGATATGCCTGGTAAGACACGGTAACAACAACCGCCGGTGCAACAAAAAACACGATCAAGTCGAATCGTTAGGTTCCCAAAATATCCAAAGACATATTCAACTGCGTAGTGTGAGTTAAAATATGCCAACCATTTTTGAATTCAGATTTCCTTAGAAGGCCATTTTATTACTGGAATTGACAAAATTCTCCCACATTTTCACCTTTCGTACCATTTTTTACTACCACGTAATCGTACTCTTTCAAAAAACGAAATGGAAATAAGCGTAAAATCTGTTTCTGACGTATTTATTTATCAGTGTTTCCCATTTTAGGGAACGTTTTCGTGGCATTAAAGGCTTTTCTTTCTATTACAGGTGCAACAAGCCGAAAATTGCACCTTATACCCATCAGTTTCATCCCGTGAATCTGCCATGGTTTCGCCTTCACTTCCGTTCCGCTTTCCTTCACCATTCTGTTTTTCTTTTTTCTCACTTCCTCTCCCTTGATTTCACTTGAAATCTTTTCTATTCTCTTTTTACAACCAGTCTGACCAACTCTCTGATGGCTAGACACTTGATGGTCACATCTGCACTACAGTTCTTAGAAAAAGTATACAATCACTATAAACACACAACCACTTGTCGGGCTAACCAGAGCTACAACAGGCGAGTGGGCAGATTTACTCAAAGGAATTCACCAAAGACCTGAAGCTGTTGCGTAAGACGCGAAGTAGCTAACTGATTGACACTAGCTCGTAAAATGGACATTGGATATTGGATGCACAAAGATAAAGACATGACCTTATAGAAACAACCACTTACTTCAATCTCTAGGTCATCACGTTATGTCTGTTGACCGTGCTTTTCTGGATATATTTTGGGAATTATCAGTTGAAGATGCAGATAAAAGACTCCATGCGGTTGATAAGCTGATAAAAGCACTTGGCGATAAGACAGATGACGTAGGTTACTCCCTCAGAATTTAACAATTCAGGTGAAATCAACATACTTCACGTATGCTAGACAAAGACTTGTGAAGGGCCTTAGGTCCTTCGAAGAGTCTTCAAGAGCCGGTTTTGAGAGTGGTCTCATCCGTCTCCTTAAGGATTTTCCATCCGAAACGTCTACAGACATTCTTTTGCAGTCCATGCGAGTCCAAGTGTACTGTTCGGAACCTTCTACTAAAAATGTATGTAGTCTTTCAATATAATAATCATCAAAAATAGGAGCGTTCATCGGTGAAGTCAGCACACTTGGCTTGTGCGCGAGTGCTTTGCGCGACGAAAAGAATACGTGAGGTATGTGACCTACTATGTTAAAGCGTCGTAATTCACAGATTGATGATGAATTTGTAAATCTCATGCTCCCACCTGTTCTGTCTTTAACGAAATCCACACATCACAGGGACACTGCATGCTTGGCAATTTCGGAACTTAGTCTTCAGGTAACTTGTTTGAAACTCACAACGTTATATTTCATCACTAGGCACCGAAACATATTTTTGGCACATCTTTAGATAAGTTTTTAAAAGAAATATGGCATGATATGATGTCTACAAACTCAGAATTCACAGGTAGTTTCCTGCTGGTTGTACTTTCATTTCAACACCGGTTTCAGGTAATAAATTTACTAATCTAAGTTAACGCTCTCAGAAACGTCTTCAAAAGTTGGGTATTCCTTTATTGGATTTTTCTGAAAGAAAATACCTCAGGAAGCTTCAATTTGGAACTCTTGTAAGAAGTGTTTACTTTGTTTTTATTTAGTCAGCACTCTCGTGATGATATCGTTATGCGATTAATTGATGAAGTTGTGAGGCTGAACGCGCTGACTACTGTTTGGGCCTCCTTAAAAGGTAGGTACTTTTGTTAGTTGATGTTATTTCGCTTGGGAGTTGGTTCACTGATCAAATATACTAACTATGTAGTCGTATCTACTTGTATCTTTAAATTCTATAACTAGAGTAACATTCGTGTGCTGATATACTTTTCAATTTTTCTATTGTTTGCAACCGACGCTAAGTATTCTGCTGTCCATTTCAGTCTAGCTACCTGAGTTAAATCTTTTCAGTTTGTGACCTTGTGCTCTGTGATTCAGCATTACAGTATTTGGCTGATTAAGGAATCGACATTAAATTTCAAGTCTTGTGTACTCCAATCTTTAATTCAAAACCACTATTTTGCTAATTTGAATGTTGATGCTTTATCTGAAGGATGTAGATGGGTTTGTTTCGTGTAGCACTTATAGAACCAACAAACTAGTTCTTTTTGTGGTCTTACCGATTTATGTGGGGTGCGAAAGTAATCATAGCCGTAAGATAACTCGTAACGTATTTTTGAGTGATTTACAAGTACTAACGTGCTATTGGTTTATCTAGCAGCTTCCATGTAGTTCCAGAAAAGTAGCTGCTACATCCATGGTGGCTAAACCTGCATATCACTGATCCAACGAGCTATGCTGGTTGAAACAGCTGTTCTGCGATGTCCCACCATGCCTTGATGGTCTATTTTTTAGTGATGAAACCAAAGGCAGTTACCAGCGTATTTGAATTAGCTTACACTGTAGAGGATGTCCGACGTCGAAGTCTTACTACTGGCTGTATGGGATAACGGGAGTAGGGCATTTCTCACAGGTAACTAGCATTTCATACCAAAATGACCAACACTATAAAATGTCCACTTCCTGTCCTCTGGCCTTCCGGTGAGTTTTTCTAGTCTGGATAAAACGTTATCAATTACAAATCTAAAGTTCCCACTTAGCTGTCTGACCAACCTTAAGCAGATGTTCTTCGAACTTTCTAATCACGCATCTAGGTTGTTAAAACCACCCATGTTAATCTACTTTCATTTTCAGGTAGTTCAGGAAATATGGGTAGCCCAGGAAATATCAGTCACTCATACTTTTGTGAATATTCATATCCCTTCTGAAAATCATCACTTTTCCAGTCCATCATCTACTAATTCTTCACTTTTCTCTATTAATACTTCGATATTTTAAAGTTATCACAGTTTTGTAGCCCATGATCACGATTAGAGTTTGCGAAACAGTATCCAAACTTCTTGTTATAGCCTTCAGTGTCCACTAGGTTTCACTGACCGTGTACTCTTTGTGAGACGTCAAGGGCTAGATGTGGTTATTCACTGAACCTCAATGTGATGAATTTGCGAAATTTACCCTACGAGTTTCCAGATTATTGTTTGACTGGATGGTGCGGTAAAGAATAAGAGGAATAGTGACGCATGTCGTTGTTTCTTTATAATTTCAGGTTTAGCATCCGCTGACTGCAATTCAGATAATATGAAAGACGAACTCTAACGAAAATCGTCTAACCTAAAAAGGAAGTAGAAATGCACTCAGCGACCATATTCACTTTCGTGCAGTAGGCAACGAGCCACATATTGTGTGTGCTAATGATACTATCTGTCTGCTCACACCTCGGTAGGTGCAACGGAATTTGAAAGTGACCCATTGGCTGGAAATCGGGTTCCTAAACTAATAAGCCACAGCTCAACTATTGTCTAATCTATTATAAGTCAAACATTATTATTATTATTATTATTATTATTATTATTATTATTATTATTATTATTATTATTATTAGTCCCTTGGGTTCCTAGTGGAACATAGGGCTTCAGTAAGTCAAACATTAAGACATGTTTTTTGTTATCTACATCAATAATGCACAACTAAGAGGTCTCAGCCAATCAGAAAGATACTAAGGTGGTACTTTTCGGGATGCTGAACAATCAAATAGACTTCTGCGAAACTTCAGATTTCCATCAAACATTTATTTTTTATACATTCTTAAATTACCGTTTCTGGGCTTTCTCTACGCCATGGCCAGTAGTTCTTTCCACACCCTTTACCAAGGTAACTCGCTGATTGGTTAACGCTGGCTTTTAATATGTTTATGTTCCAAATTATGGAGAAGGTTAAGTGGCATGTGTGTATACACACTTTTCGGGCTACAATCTTTTCAGAGACAAACTCTCCCTTCGAGACCAGTCTTTGTCTCTAATTTCCATCTCGAGTTTTAGAGTCTGTGGTATCTGATGTACGAGTTAGCTGTTGGTTAAAAGCATGCGTACTATCGAATACTAAGGAACGTAGCATAAATATTGGCAATCACCTCCAAGTTTTGTGCCCAAGTGCTCACCCATTTCTAGCTAGCACGTACGACAGAAATGAAGACCTTTATGAATATGTTATTTACTGACCTCACCTATGAACCCACCAGATCAAATCACACTAAACTAAGCTGTGTACATCCGTTCACTTGGCAACGAACCTCACCTTTTTTGTGAGTGCTAATGATAATGACCGGTTGCTGAAACCTCGGTAATCGGAGCTGGCTTCAAACCTGTAACCCACTGGTTGCAAGGTACCTCCCTAAACCAGAGCCACAACCCGTCAACCACTTCCGTAGTAGTTCAGTACTCCTGTAAAACGGGCGGTAATTATGATGTGGTTTGGGCACACGTAAACAGGCGTATAAAGTCTTCGATTAGAAAATCTTTCCAAGTTTATCTCCACAAGAAAGACTGGCTGCTTTCAGAAAGAAACTGGCTAGACAGCCATTGAGAAACTACAATATCATATTACTCGTCCTGAAAAAGCTTGGTGACGTCTTCAGTCTATCGTAAAAGCAGCTTTAACTACGGTAAGTAACCCTCAGAAAAGAGTTTCATAGGACCAATAGATCTCAGTACTTTCTGGATTAATGAATGTATGTTAACGCATTCCTATAGCCTGTGATCCCTTTGAGGAGAGGAAGACACACAAATGCAGATTAACAATGAGACTGCACAATGGTTGTAATCAGGAATGCCCAGCGGAGTTTGAAAGTAGCGAAAAAGTAGTAACGACAAGCCACAGTAGATAATTAATTGCAAGAAAAAAGCAGTAATGGTTTGATCATACGTTGATTTGATAGTTTCCTGCTAACCTATCATCTTCCTGTTTTTGTTTATAGAGTCTCTGTGTTCCAAAGTCAATAACGCTAAACACACCTTTCGATTTTTACAAATTGTTGTCCACATTATTTGTAATCTTGATGCATCATCTGCTGAATTAATCTTATCCAAAGAAGTTCTGGAGGGTTTCAGCAAACAGTTATCAGATCCAAAGTACAAGTACTTTCCTCAAGTTTCACATTTGTTAAAAATAATGATGAACAAGGTTGTTGGCTCTATAAATATGAATGATGAAATTGCCAATGACTCATCAGTTTCCAAACCTCCAAACTGGCTATTAAGACTAATCGCTTCAAATTTCCCTTTATTTGACCTCTATTGTGATACAAGTTGTACAAAACCGTGCCAGGTTAGCAAACTTTACATTACCTTGATATTCTATGCTTCGATGTGTACTTTGATGACTGTTTTTTTCACGTTTTGGTCATATCATAGTACATAGCTGTTGTAAGTAGATTCAGTGGTGAATCTTTACGTCGTTCTGTAAGGGTTAAGTGATAATGTCAGGACTTCGGAAGTATTACCAGTGAGATATCATTTGTTCATTCACCGCTCGCCATCCCAGCCAGTGATTCAGTAAGGTTGTGGATTTTATTAGTGAAGACGCCATACAACATGGATTTCACTGATGTTTATTCGTCTTCAAGAGCAACGTAGGTTTTGAAATACTGATTAAGACCAGACTACGTCATTTAATTTGTTTCAGTGCTTGGCCATTTTAGTATTCAAGTGAGTGTAAATTTCTTTTAGGGCCAACTATCTTGTTAACCTGAACAACTGTTGGTCCTCGAATGAATGAAGAGATCTTGGACTAATAATAATACGGGAAAGACAGCTGAAACTGATTAGCTGACGTTACAAATAGCATCCTTCTTACTAAATATTCGATGTGTAGTTCAGTATTATGTTTGGTATTCATACGTATTATATCTAGAGGTGTTTTTAAACTTGCTTTTACCAGTTAAAAGCTAATGCTAAGTTAAGACAGATGGTTTGTAACCAAGCGGGATTACATGTTTAGAGTTACTATTAACTGGTAGTATTCTGAGTACTATCAATCACTAACCAGCATTGCATCAGATTAACGAATTGTGCAAAGAATAAACTGCATAAATCTTTAGACTTGTAGAGGTGAGATCCTCAGGATAGTAGTTTTTTCTAACTAAAGTTGATTTAGAATATAGCGGAAACTACAAGCTGTTGCAAATTAACTTTGGGGTTGTGGCATGGTAGTTGTAAATATGAATTGTATATTTAAGTATTATCAAGTGTATGGATTTTTTTCATCGACAGATTATTTTGGACTCTGCACCATTATCAGTAACATTGGATACTCTTCAACTGTATGTTAGACAGTTAATGGACGCTTTCACTAATTCTGAAGTTCAAGATTTGAATCATAAACCTGATGAAGAGGATACTGAACAATTTCAGTCAGTCGATTCACGTTCTGATGGTGTTCGAGTTTTTGTCATCAAATATTTACAAATGGTTATGAATGCAATAATAAAATCCAAGCACATGGGTTCTTCAAAGTTTCTCGATGAAATCTTAGAGTTTTTATTGACTATTGGTTTGACTTCTACTCTGAAGATTGGTAAATTCAATTTAAAAACACATGTCTCAGCAAATGTTGCTAAGTGCAGCTGGGCAGCGTTATTTGGTACATTAGATTACTTGATTCTTCAAACAGTTAGCAGCAACAAACTATCCGATGTTCAGACTTCGAAGAATCTTTCCAATTTGGATGTAATTAAACACTTTACAACTCTCATCAGAAATGGAATTACACTGTGTTCAAAGTTCACGAACACTGACAGTCCTGATGCTCGCATTGATCTTTGTCTAGGCTCGTTAAAACGATGCCTTAAATTGCTTCAAAAAGCAGATTCTCAGGATCAATTAGATCAGTTTATTTTAATTTTGTGTGGAGCTTGTTCTATCTTCTCTCTTTCAATGCCACTTGAAGGTAATGTTTGCCATTAGAGAATCTGGTAGTTTAATACTGAAGTACAAATCTGGTGACTACTTATTCAATAATATATGTTGATTTCTTTTCTTTTTTTCGTGTACATTCTAGCACCTAGTGTTAGTGTCTTCGTTTTTAAATCCCCTTAGTTTTCTTTTTTTCATGCATCGCTGAGTTGCTGTGAAAGACATTTTGAGTACTATTTTTCAGAATAAATAAGTTAGTATACTTTCGTGTTGGACAACTGAATTAAAAACCATTGTTCGTGATGTAAGCAATATGGGCATTAGATTATGTCTGCAGCGTTATACAGTAAATAAAAGAGTGACTTTAAAGGTTATCCTAACAACTATTAAGATGACCAACTACGTTCTTCTATTTTATGAAGAACTACCCTCTCAGTCGAAATTCTGAAATCTGACTGGTTATCTCAGCAGTTGCTACAGTGCACCTTAAAGTCACTCAAATAACACAATCACTGTGTGATGTGTTTAGTGAATCAACTAAAGTTGGATTACATTCTTCCACAGTATTTTACTCTACCCAGCACAAAAATTGTAACTGTTGCAGTGTACCGCGTTCACGTGAAATCCAAAACCTAAGGAGCTCAGTTAGCGCAGTCACAGTTAATTACAAGTACACAAAATGCACACAGAGTTCACTTGTTAGTCACTGAAACACATACAAAGATAATCGACTGAGTTGTAGTGGTTGATCTAACTTTGAAATACCTCACTGAATCATTAGTAGAAACTTTACGGAGCACACAGGCTTGCCTTAGAAGTTTTATGCTGTTTGTCTGATATTATGATGAGTTCATCATGCGCAAAGAAATCTAATACATCATGCTTAATTTTCAGTTTGTGTAAACAGAAAAGTCGGTAAAATAATATATGAACGAAGTGTTGATAACGTAGCTTGACTCATTGCCCCTAAATAATTGGGAGTGCATCAATTAACAGTATCCCATCAATTATTCCTCTTATCAAATTTTAGTAGGTCTGGTTGAGAATAGAAGGACCTGTTTAGATAAGAAGTGGGATTAGTTTTGCACTTGTTATAAGTGCTTATTTGTAGCTAGCAGTGGAATCCAGGACGCGCGTTTCGTCCCATTTGGGACTCATTAGTTAGATGGATGTACCTACACCCCAGTGAATGATGTTGTTCCCACTGAGACTCAAACCTCATACTCTTCGCTTCAAATACCAGAGCGTTATCCACTGGAGCACGTTAGCCATAGTTTTTATACTGAGTATTAGTTATTATTATATGTTGGTACTTGTAGTAGTTCTCCATTGTTATACTGGATCGAGTTGATGGACTTCTGTTGGCATATGGTCTCTTATGAGGATGCCTCGATATTATGTGAATGTTTATTATTATGACAATAAATATTCAGACAATATCGAAGCATCCACGTAAAAGCCCAAATGCCAACAGAGATCGACCAGTTCGATCCAGAATAACGGAGAATTACAAGTACCAACAAATAATAGAAGTGTGCATTGCAATTTTTTCACTGACACAACATTTGATTCGCATGAAGAATCTGATGGAACCTAGGGGTGGTCATTTTAAGACCGCTTTATTATTTGTCTTTTGATGCGGCGCTATGGTTCATTAGTCCAAGCATTAGACTTCCAACTGGTTGGTCACAGGTTGATTGATTGTTTACCCCTGACGCAACAGTTGTGGCTGGTTTCCCTGTATACGAGCCTATATATGGTTGTTGAGTTATATACACTCTTGAATGTACTTACTTTTTACAGATTAGTATTGAGATGTCTATTTTCAACCAATATATGCTAATGTTTCTAATCTCATCTTTGTTATTTTTGTTCATTCATCATGCAGACACTGTTGGCCTCCTCGATGACTTGGTGGAATGCAGAAAAAGACGTTTATCAAATGTTGTAGAAGAAGGCGATCCTCATTGGTCAGAAGTTCTGACAGATGTGATCTTAAGTGCCATTTCCTATCCTGTTCGTATGTTGCGCTCTGCTAGCCGGCTGACTTTTAAAAAGATGGTTACAGAGAAAGTATTCTTAACTACAAATGTTTCAGGTGGAGAATATCCATCTTGCTTGAAACTGATTGGTGATATACTGAAAACACGACCAACAAAACAGACCAACAGTACGAAACATGATGATGATTCCGGGGAATCAGAAACTGAGGATTTGATTCAGTTCTCAATAACTCATTCAAATAATGTAGTACAGTCAAAACAGGAGATGTTAGTGCAAAACGGTGATTCAGAGGAAGTCAACGATGGAGAAGAATTTGATCAGAAAACAAATTCCGATGACAGTTAGTTTCATTGCATGTCGTTTTGATATTTTTACTTGATTTGTTTTGTTTACATTCACAATATTATAATTCATCCAAACTATCTGCAATCATAAGTTTCTTTAATTCGTTTCGCGTGTGTCAAACACAAGGTGATGCTCCACGACTGGTCTGCTGCAAGTACTCCCAATGTCATGATAGGGAGTAAAGTGGTGGGATAGATTGACCACTTCACTTAATTGGAGAGTCGCATCGACCTGAACAGGCTAGTCGCTGACGAAATCTGAGCCCTGATACAGAAGGCCCGTAAGGCATTTACCAACTGGTATCATCTTTGGCTCCGACTGTCTATCAAAGGACGGGTATACTGCACTAAAGTCCGTTCTGCCGTGTTATAACGTCGTGACATGACCGCTGAAAGCAGAAGACGTAAAGCGGCTACAGGTTTCTATCGTCGGTGTATTGCTCGCGTTTGGTGAAATCACCGTATGAGCAACGTTGAGGTCAGACGAAGGGTACTAGGCAAGATAGCCTAATCGATGAATGAGGTTATGAACCTTCATCGACTGAAATGGCTTGGACATGTATTGTGCAAGCTGATCCACTACCTACCTCAACGTGCAGTGCAAGGAGAACTTGGATTAGGTTGGACGAGGATTCACAGTAACCAGACCAAAACTTACCACCTGTCGATAAAGTCTCTTACCGTTGGTATGAGCCGTGTTGGGAGATGCAGACTGCGTATTTAGGATCACTGAAACGTTAGGAATCAGTAGTTGGAGACTGACCCTTGGTGACACGGCTGAAATCTGTCACAGTGACGCAGATGTATCTACTCTTTGACGTCGTCTAATGCTTGAATATTCGTGCTAATTGTCTAATCTCTCACATAACTTTGCCTACTTTGATATTGCTCTTTACTATGCACTTGTTCATTGTAAGCTACTGTGAATCGTGCCAGACTGAACCGATGCACTTCTTTGCGAGGTTCTACGTTGATTTTGTTAGTCTGTTTCAATTCTGGACCAGTTTAACTCTCGGAAAATTTTCATGATCAATAGTAGACAGAAAACTAGTTCGAGACAATATTAAAGTCTCATCAGGTTCAACCTGTAAATGTGAAATCCAGATATAATAATAGCATACACTTAGAGTGTCCATAGATAATTATTAGGTATGCGTATAGAAAAACTGATGTTGCAGGTGATGTTACATAGTTGGTTACCTTAAGAGTAGTATAAAGCAAAATAATAACTGATTAACATGGGATTCGACAATCAAACAATAGGTATTCAACCAAACAGGAATTAATTGTGGTAAGAATGATAAGTTACACATTCTGCATGACAACCGGGACCAGTTGTTAAAGAGTCTAGGTGATATGGTTCAGAATCGATGTCAATGGTGGATATGAATCCACATATCATTCATTTTCTTCTGAATCGCCATATTGAATTTCAATACTGTCTCATTGTTCTTTGCTCAATTTTAGTGACTTACTATCACTTCTGATTGCTTTTTTTATTTCTTGATCTTTCATCTGAGTGAATTCTCACTTGATGTACTGATATGAAGTGTGCTAACTTGAACTAATACGCAGTAATGCTAGGTTCTATGTTGATTTTGTCTGTTTTTCTACTTCTGAAAAGGTAAATTTTTTTTAAGCCCCTAATTTACTATAAGTTTTTAGTATTCTTAGAAAAAAACCTCATTATTATTACTCTAACAGGTTCAGATGATTCTGACTCTGATGCACTTGAAGAGGAGATCGATATTGACGAGAATGAACTAAATCAGATTAAAAATAGTGTACGTGCTGCTCTTGGTCCAGCTGCATTGGATTGCGAAGACAATGATAGTAATAATAATGATTGTAAAGATTTTACAGATGCTGAAATGTTTGCACGTAATGAAGCATTGGCAGCTGCTTTCCGTGTTCACATGCGAACACCTCAACGAATAGTCGCAGATCAAGCCCGCACACTTGGCCAATTAAAAATGAGGTAATCTTATGACTGGGTTTTTACACAATATAAACTAAAATTGTTATGATACTTGTAATTGCCCGTTGCTATTCAGGGCTGAATTGCCCGACCTCTGTTGGCAGATGAGCTCCTATGCGGATGCCTCTATACTGCTAAATATTCATGATGTTATATCGATCTAGGTGACTAGCAAAGGAATTCAGGATGCGCTTCTCGTCCTATTTGGGACTCATTAGTCAGCTGGATGTACCTGCACCCCAGTGAGCAGTGTTGTTCCCTCTATGGCTCGAACCCAGTACTCTTCGCTTCAAACACCAGAGCGTTATCCACTGGGGTACGACAGCCACCTCTTTTAAATGGGTATCAATTGTTGATACAACATCACTCACTTGGGTGCAGGTACATCCAGCTGACGAGTCCAAAATAGGATGAAACGCACTTCCTGGATTCCTCTGCTAGTCACCACGATCAATATAACAAAATGTAAAGTGTTACTTCACTTTGTGACAGTCATGTTGTTTTGAAAAACTGAATGATACTATTTTAAATATTTTTTTCTTTAAGCGGTGGAATACACCCACTTGATCATAGGAAAAAACAGACGGTTGCAGTGAAGATAGAAATGTTTCTTCCCGACGAAGTCATTTAATAAGCTGTTCATTCGTCAATTTATCACAAAGATTAAAACATTCGAGAATTATTTCCAGTCAGGGTTCAAAATATATCCAGCTAAGAAAGCGAGTTACTTAATACAAATGGAAGTCTAAAGTAGGGAAATAAACGAGGAATTAAGAATATAAATGTGATTATATAGTACGGGGACAGTCGAAGCTTTATGATGTCCGTGGCTAAGACTAAAGTTCGACATACTTTTTTAGACACAGCGCTGGTCTGAACTTCCGGATGGCTTGCGCATCAGCTGTACCGAAATGCTTAATCGAACCTTTTAGAAGACTTTAAAAGAGTTTTCAAAAGTAGCTAAGTGGTCTGAAGTCTTAAGGTGTTCTGTTATTCAGCTGAAGATGGATTTCTGCTTTTTGCTTAGCTAGGCTAGTGTTTTCGAGTGTGTTTCACAAGCGGGCGCATGGTATGACCGATGTACTCAGCTTCAAAGGACCAGGAAAACTGGTATACCTTCATTCTCTCTGTTATTCCATAATTTGTGTATACTCTAAATAGTCTATTCCATTTTTCATATTATAGATGCTTTGATTTGATCGAATGTATTCTACAGTATTGTTCAGAGCCTCAACTTTTGTTGGTAAGTCTCTAGTAGTGTATGACATACTGTTCACATCCAATTATTAAACTACATATCGTTAATTTAGCCTTGATTGTTTATTCTTCATAGTAGTATATTCATATGTAATCCGGAAGTCGGAGAAGGACTAGTATGATATAATAAGGAAGAGAATGAAAGATGAAAAGATAAGATAAAGTAATACGATAAAATAAGCATTACCAAAGTAGGCTTAGCGTAGGAACAAACTGTTTTTGCACACACACACAATGAGGGGTTAAATTTATTTATGGCTAGCGCCTCAACAAACTTAAGTATACGCCCTGACAGTTTCTATACAAAATTGTAAAGGCTGTTTTAATATCAATCCTGTAACCCTTATCAATATTATTTTGCAATAGATGATGATGGTCGTCTGCCACCTGCGTTTATCGATGTTTGTGAATCCAGATGCTTTTGTAGCCGTTTTGGAACATGTTTCCCTACTCTCAAGTGCATATCACGATTAGTCCTCCCTAATGTATGTTTTTCCACATACACATATGTAAATTTATAAACGCAGTGGGATGTGACGCAATCGTTTATACAGCGTTGAGGTCTATGTTGCAGCAGGTGTTTGGTATTCTCAACTACGATAAGCTTAGCTGCATAGTACGCTTCGCTAACAGCATACCTTAACCTTCGTTTTAATATTATGGTGTTAGATTCTTCCGTGTGGTAAAGCGATGTAAACGCATTTCTTCGAAACAGAGTACAGATTAGATTTCGATCCTGGCTGATTTTTGTAGTGGTTTATGAACTTCAATGGATATCCATTTTCCATTAATGTTTCCGTTAGTATTTTGATATCATCATTTTTGCTAGGTGATATTTACATGTCACACATTGAAGGCTTGACCGGCCACCTCATCAGTAAAGTTACTCTCTATAACAGATATGTTGACGATATAATCGTGATATGTGATAAGCATGAAGATGCTACCATCATTTCTACGACCTAGGAGTATATCTAAGAACAGCAGAAGGTTTTCTTTATCTTCTTCACATGTTAGCTTATGTTGTTTTGTACGGTATCAAGTCTTTCTAACAAACATTTAGCATCTTCATGCTTATCACATATCACGATTATATCGTCAACATATCTGTTATAGAGAGTAACTTTACTGATGAGGTGGCCGGTCAAGCCTTCAATGTGTGACATGTAAATATCACCTAGCAAAAATGATGATATCAAAATACTAACGGAAACATTAATGGAAAATGGATATCCATTGAAGTTCATAAACCACTACAAAAATCAGCCAGGATCGAAATCTAATCTGTACTCTGTTTCGAAGAAATGCGTTTACATCGCTTTACCACACGGAAGAATCTAACACCATAATATTAAAACGAAGGTTAAGGTATGCTGTTAGCGAAGCGTACTATGCAGCTAAGCTTATCGTAGTTGAGAATACCAAACACCTGCTGCAACATAGACCTCAACGCTGTATAAACGATTGCGTCATATCCCACTGCGTTTATAAATTTACATATGTGTATGTGGAAAAACATACATTAGGGAGGACTAATCGTGATATGCACTTGAGAGTAGGGAAACATGTTCCAAAACGGCTACAAAAGCATCTGGATTCACAAACATCGATAAACACAGGTGGCAGACGACCATCATCATCCATTACAAAATAATATCATTGATAAGGGTTACAGGATTGATATTAAAACAGCCTTTACAATTTTGTATAGAAACTGTCAGGGGCGTATACTTAAGTTTGTTGAGGCGCTAGCCATAAATAAATTTAACCCCTCATTGTGTGTGTGTGTGTGTGTGTGTGTGTGTGTGTGTGTGTGTGTGTGTGCAAAAACAGTTTGTTCCTACGCTAAGCCTACTTTGGTAATGCTTATTTTATCATATTACTTTATCTTATCACCTTTCATTCTCTTTCTTATTATTATATCACACTTATCCTTCCCCCACTTCCAATTTTCGTACATGATGAGATTGTTCGAAGTGTATAGCGCAAATACATCACATTTTTTTCAGATCATCTACGTCTTCTAATTACATTATTGAAATTCATAAAAAGAGGACTAATTGTTTTTCAAATCCTTATAATCATTCATGCACTGACAGTTCGTGCATCGACAAGTTGCATTATTTTTATACGGAAAAACACTATTCATTGATTTATTTCATATTACATTCATTAGCAGATATAAATACAAAAGTAATGATAGACAGTGGCTAGCAGTGGAATCCAGGATGCACAGGCAATATCAAGGCATCCGCACAGGAGCCCATATGCCAACAGAGACTGATCAATTCGGTCCAATCAACGATGGTTTAATACAAGCAATAACACTAAAGTAATGAGTTGGAAAAAAAACACGCTACATTATCTCTTTTTTTCATTCTACTTTACTACAGCACACTCTTCAACTTGTCATCGATATAGGCAAAGGGTCTATTGAATATGAAATGGCTAAATCACGAAGTGTTTCAGGTTCAGATAAACTGATTGTTAATCAGAAGGAAAAGAGGAAAACACGTTTTATTGCTCACTACGGTGATGTTCCTCCATTGTCTCGTATTGTTCATACAGTAAAAAAGTGTCATTTCAGGTCACAAAGAACTCAATCTGAATTTATTGAATCGCTTAAATCTACTGATCAACAAGCACATCTTCAAAAGATTATGAAGTCATTTGTAGATGATACAAAAATGAGTAAGTATCATCTTGTTATTTTATTAGAATTTTATCCAAAATTGTTATTCATGACATACTTGTCACTTATGAAAGTGCTTGTATTTCACCTACAAGCACTTCTTGGGGGACTGACTACTGGAGGGCTAACCTGCCGAATAATCAGATAACATCATTAGTCTTCATATATTTTGTATAAAATGCGTTGTGGAACAGAAATGTAGCATCGTGGGATGAAGAGTAGTTGCATCAGGTTAGCATCTGTTGGTACATTACGACTCCTTGGATTGAGGTCCAAGAGATCACTCAACTCAGTAGCTTGAAACGGTATCAGATATGGCTCAGAATCGAGACCAGTGAGCGGTTATGCTATAGCTTCCTTGTTTTGTTCTGAATGTATCACATTGAACTGCCTTTCTGATTATTCTATTCTTATTGTGTTTTTCTCTTTTTATCCCCTTCCCTTCGCTTTATGTCTTCATAATGTTGTTATATTATTTTGTGTAACGCATTTTTTTTTGGTGCCTTGTTCCTTGGTACTATGTCTGTGTTCTAATAATAACAAATTCTAATGAGCCACTCCTACTATCTCACTGCTCAAACCTCGGTAAATGAAACGGGGTTTGGACCTGTGACCCATTAGTTGAATGTCGACTATCTAGACGATTAAACCACAGCTGCACTGTTTATAACCCAGTATGCAATTATTCACTATATCTTTGTATATCTTTTAGTTGTTAATTGTCTTAATTATCTCTGCATAGTTGGTATTTTTGACTGTTCATTAACTTATCTCATTATTCCAACCATTGATTTTTAGTGAATGCACCTTCTCAATATATTGAACTATTATCGAATATTGTGGAGTTTATTGTAAGTCTTTTAAGTCTTTTTTGAGTTTTAATATCCTTCTTTTTTCTTATTCTTTTGTAAAACTGATTTTTCTTCTTATTCTTAATCTGTATAGTATCGAAGTATTACACCGTTGAAAACAGACTATCCTGATTTGGAGTCAACTGTATCTGAATATTTATTAGAGCGACTTCATGAAGTTCTGTGTAAACACAATGCTCAACCTACGCTTTTCTTTAATCTAATCAATCATTGTCAGGTGAGTAGTTAGTTAGTTGACTACAGTTAATGGTCCCCCTTTTTTGTGTAATTGAAGAGACAAACACAAACTACCTCTATAATATGTTTAAGAAATTAAAACACTTTCGCTTTTTTGTCGCCTTAATACAGTACTCCTGGTTGTAAATAAATTATAACATCGTTTGTTTTATCGTTGTACTGCCCATGCCGAACCATCGCCTACTACCTCAATGTATCATGCTAGGAGAAGTTGGATTAGGTTGGAAAAAGATTCACAGTGGCCATACCTAGACTTACCACCTGTCGATAAAGTCTCTTACTGTTGATCTGAGCTGTGGTTGACATCCCCTATGTTCAATGAATCAGTGTTTGAAGATTGACTTTGGTGACATTGTTGAAAATCTGTCGCAGTGACGCAGATGTATTCACTTCTTGACATCTTCTAAAGCCTGAATATTTGTACTAACCGCTGTCTCCAGATTGTTTATTCTTTCACACTACTTTATCTTCTTTGATATCACTCCTTTTACTACCCCATATGTTCTTCGTGAAGCATGGCAACTCGAGTCAATGCACCTGTGTGCGAGGTTCTACGTTGAGTTAGTCAGTCAAGATTTCAATATATTATTAGGTTATTTTGTTGTTATGAAATAGATTATTTAGAAGTAGTATTCATCATGGACTGCCCGGGTCGTGAGTGCGCACTGCTGAGAAGTCCCATACTAGGACGAAACAGCTGTCCAGTGCTCCTAGATTTTCAATGGTTCCTCAACTGATGTCAGTTCATGATGAATACTACTTCTAAATTAAAAATCCCCATTCATCTCAAAAATAAATAGATTATTATCGCATTCATTCCGTAAATCTGCTGCATATTCGTTGCTACAATATAATCTTATCTTTCATGATTGTCGAGAAACTATCTACTAACATATCTTCAATCTACATTTATAAAGTGTGATGAATAGACGGGAACGTTTTCTTTGAATTTGTTCCTCTCTCATCACTTTATTAAACAAGCTAAGAATTATTTCAAAGTAGTTCTCATCATAGTTGAAGAACCATTCCAAACCTGACAGCACTGGACAGCTGTTCCGTCTTAGTATGAGATGGCAGTAGAGAACTGCGAGCCATTGAACACCAATACAGTGGATGAATAATTTACGCGTTCACCGGGAGATCTGAAAGTCCTGAGTTCGACTCCTGGCAGGGCCGTGTGTTCTGCTGAGGAGCCGCATACTGGGATAAAACAGCTGTCCAAATTTTTGATGGCCCCTATGACTGATGTTATTCCATGACGAATACTACTTTGGTATATATATATATATATATATATATATATATATATATATATATATATATATATATTATTATTATTATTATTATTATTATTATTAGTCCCTTGGGTTCCTAGTGGAACATAGGGCTTCAGCAGCACGCCTCCAGTGACCTCTGTTCTCTGAGATCTTTTGAACCTGGTCCCACGACAGCCCAGAAGCTCTCATTTCCTGCTCGCACGACCTCCTCCATGTCACCCTCGGACGTCCAACTCGTCGCTTCCCATGGGGATTCCACTCGAGGGCCTGACGCGTGATGTCCTCCGTCGGCCTTCTCAGTGCATGGCCAATCCATCTCCACTTCTTCCTGCATATTTGTTGCGTGATAGGTTCTTGGTTGGTTCGTTCCCAGAGTTCCTTGTTGCTTATTCTTTCTGGCCATCTGATCTTCAGCAGCGAGCGTAAGCAGTTGTTGATGAATGTCTGTAGTTTATTGGAAATACCTTTCGTGATGCGCCAAGTCTCTGAGCCATACAAGAGCACTGACTTGACGTTGGTGTTGAAAATCCGTATCTTGTTCCGCATGCTGAGTGCAGAAGATCTCCACACTGGTTTCAGGCTAATGAACGCCTGTCTTGCTTTCCCGATTCTGACTTTGACGTCCTCGTCCGTCCCGCCTGTAGTTGAAACAGTGCTTCCTAGATAAGTGAAGGAGGTTACTTCCTTTAAGTTTCTCCCGTTGACGGTGATTGGAGTTTGTTGTTGTTGTTGTTGATGGTGGTGGTGCGGTATCTTCATCACTTCTGTCTTCTCTATATTCACCTGAAGTCCCGTCTTCGCTGCCTCTTCTATCAACTTGTTAGTTTTTGCCTGCAGATCTTCAAGTTTATGTGACATTAGGCATAAGTCATCGGCGAAATCCAAGTCTTCTAGGTTCTTTTCCGTCGTCCAGTGTATCCCCCTCTTCTCGCTGCCTACTGTTTGCTGCATGATCCAGTCCACCACAATAAGGAATATCATGGGGGATAGTAGGCAACCTTGTTTCACTCCTGTCTTCACTTCAAAGGCATCACTGAGCTTCCCATTGTGGATTACTTGGCATGTGGCATCTTCATATAGTTGTTGAATGAGGCGGATAAAGGTTTGCGGTACTCCGTAGTATTGAAGTAGTTTCCAAATTACTTCTCGGTCGACGCTGTCAAAGGCCTTCTCAAAGTCGATGAAGTTGAGGTATAGAGCTGATTGCCATTCTATGCTCTGTTCTATGATGATACGAAGCGTTGCAATTTGGTCTGCACATGATTTGTACTTCCTGAAGCCTGCCTGTTCCGGTCGTAGTTTTGAATCCAGTGCATCCCTTAGCCTCTCCAGGATGATGCGGCTTAATATTTTACTTGGGGTGGACAGTAGAGTGATTCCGCGCCAGTTCTTGCAAGCACTGAGGTCTCCCTTCTTCGGCAGTTTGACAAGGTAACCCTTCTTCCAATCGTCAGGTACCTTCTCTTCCTTCCACACCTTCTGCAATAGTGGTGTGAGCATGGCCGCTGTTGTCTCTGCATCTGTTTTCAGTGCTTCTGGCGGTATTCCATCTGGTCCTGCATATATATATATATATATATATATATATATATATATATATATATATATAATTACTTTACTTAAAATCTCGTACGTTTATTGATAACAATGCTCTTTTTGAAATGTTTAGGCGTTTACAGTTATGGCTTCAAAATTGTTGATCAAAACTACAATAAAAGCCTGCAAAAAAATTATCAAAGGAGTGGAAGATATACAAAAGATTAAAATTGGCGCCTTTGAAAACTGTAACCTTCTTAATTTGTTTAAAATGGTTATTCACGTGATTAAATCACCAATGTGTGATTTAGAGACTGTGAATATGTTTAAAGATCTAAGCATCAAACTAGCTGAACTGTTACAAGAAACAATAAAGATTAACCAATGTTCAATTGACAGTAATATTTGGTACAATCAGCCTAATATAACCTTACCCTTATTTGAATTAATGATGTGCCTTGTAAAGGTTGATAAGGATACTTTACCTATAGTAAGTTGATATGCTGTTCTTTATGCATAGTGGAAACTTATTCGCGAATAATTTCACATATTGATACCTCATATTTTTCTAATTATTTGGATTTCAAGATTCCTAGATTCTACCATTACAAGAATTATTTTAAGCTGCTGAAAGTGTTTTGATATTCGTCTTACTAAGCCTGAATATGTGTAGAGTGCAATATTACTTCTTTGAATGACTTGCAAATTCTGGATCAAATTATTGAATAGAAAAGTAAATTGGTTTGATCTTGGAGTGAAATCGACAAGCGTACTGCTCGATTTTAAAAGTACCGCTCTCATTATTACTGTGGGTACTCAGTACATATTCAAGATATGAATTAACTATGAAGGATAAAAGAAAGTTCTTAGAAATAGACAAGTGTCGCTGATTTCTTTTCTTCTGTTAAGCTTCAAATCAAGGGAATATTTTCACAATATATTGTGTGTCCATCTATCCATTCAAATCAACATAGGACCAGGCATTACTGCGTAACGACCCACAGCTCATATCGGTACATCAAGTAACAAGGCAGTCAAGTGGAAGATGAAGGAACAAAAATTCAGTCAGAATAAATATAAAGTACTAAGAGAGAGAAAAGAAGAATTAGAAAATGGTGAGATTCACTATAACATTAAGATAAGGGTAATGTGTGTATACATCTGAGCCACTGACATCGGTTCTAAACCATATCGCCTGGAGTCTCCAACCACTGGTTCCTCTTGTTCCGTGGACCCCAACCGGCTAGTCTGCATCGCCACACATGGCTCAAACCAACAGTCAAACACTTCATACACTGGTCCTGTGTTTTAGTCTGGCCATCTCGGACCTTTTTCCAGCCTGAACCTACTTCGGCCAACATTGTGTGACGAGATAGACGGTAGTTTGGCTTACATAACACATGCCCCAACCATCTCAGTCAATGAAGGTTCACAACCATGTCAACTGACTTACCGTCTCAGTATATTGTACTGTATATTGTATATTGTATTGAATGTGTTACATTGAGTTTGTAGATTATTACATCGTACATTAAGTTATCAGCCGAAAAATGTGCTCTTTCAGTCAGATTAAACATCATCTATTGAAGTTCACCCCAGTGCATGTTCAGCTCTGTAAAAAAGTTCATGTTGGTGTTGTAAAGTTTACCTAATCCATTGAAATATCTATCCGTTTGTTCTGTTAGCTGCACTACACTTTTACTATGTTTTCTACATAATTGACAATAATCTAACCAGACCTAAGTTATTTACAATCGTAGAAAAGAAATATTACGGGAGATAAACGAATTACCACCAATTCCGAAATGTTTCTTTACTACGAACAACTATTTTGAGTATATAGAGTCATGCATCCTATTGGATAAAATAATTCTTGGTTATATTGTTTTGGTAAAGGGGAGAGTACTTTTGATGTACACTCACAATCTTTTAGTTTCGACCATACTACTTTTTATTCGTGGTTCTGATATATATTCATGTACTGCGTTTACTTATTGTATTCAAAATATTATATCAGTTTAACTAAGGGAGATAACTGTGGTTTGATAGGTTTGTATTATTGATACTGGTTGATGATTGAAGGTAAGATGAAAATGTGAGCCGCAGGAGGATTCGAACCAGCAGCCTCCGGATTACTGACCTATAACTCTATCAACTAAAACAACTGCTGACCAGACTTTAATCTTGTTTAAATCACCAAGTGCAGTGTGCGACTACCATTTGAATTCGTAGCTAGGTTGGTAGAGCATCGAACCGGTAACCCTGGAGGCCATTGGTTCCAATTCTGTCGTGACCCATACTTTCAATTCACCTTCAACCATCGCCTAATATCGAAATTATTATAATTTACTGTATACGTTAACATTTTAAGTCTATGGAGCGATAGCTCGAGATTCTGGTTATTGGTTTATTACGTCTAAGCGTTGGTGGTAGGCTTTCATCCAGACCTACAGGTAAATTTTTGTGAAAGAAGAAGGGATGCATAAAAGATGTTATGTATAACCCAGTCGGTAGTGTTTCTTTCAGTCGAAACAAAAATTTAAATCACAAAAAGAAATAGGGACTAAAATAGCACATGGAATATATGCCTGCTTCAAATGATAACATTAGTTACATCAGTACACAAGACCATACACCAAACTTAGTGTACATGAAAGTCTTTTTGTCGATGAATTAAAGAATACTTGTTATCTTTTCTTTTTTCTTAGTTTTTCCAAGAAAATATTGTGAAACTCCTTGAGAAATTTCCATCAACACAAAAATGTATCAGGTTTTCCGCTCGACGCTTTTTAAATTTATTACGCGAAAATGGTCGTAAGTTTGGGTAAGTTTCATATATACTTGTGTTGTTTTCACTCTGAATTAGTTAAATAGTTCTTACTATTTATTCTAGTTTATTTCTCTATACATCTAAGAACTCGACTTAACCGGTTGCTAAACTTTACCCTCATACAATATGCGCACTTGTTATCGCTATACTGAATCGTGTTGATTATTTCACATTCTCGAGGATACTTCTCTCTTAGACCATCTTGTTTAGATCTAACGTCTTGTGTTCTCTGAGCTGGGTTGTTTAATCGTGAAGCTTTCATTGTCTTTCTAGACGACATCATCAGCACTAACTTGAGTATGAAGTGAGCTGTCAACAGCTCTCCGTGAGTGGTTCATTAGCTTGCCCTGACGAACTGGTTTGTGATTAGTTGTTTCTAATCACAAACTAGTTCGTCAGGGCAAGCTAATGAACCACTCACGGAGAGCTGTTGACAGCTCACTTCATACTCAAGTTAGTGCTGATGATGTCGTCTAGAAAGACAATGAAAGCTTCACGATTAAGCAACCCAGCTAAGAGAACACAATGAAAACCAAGACTGTCCATTTGAGCTAAAAATATTCTCCGCCATTTCACATTCAATGTCACTTGAATAATTTTTCCTCATAACTTTCAACTCTTTCATTTGTGTCACCATCATTAATAGTTATATAAATATATTGCATTTAATTCTGTGTTATAGATTATTGTCGCTGTCTGAAAGTCGTGAAGAAAAGCTTCATCTAAAAAGGGAATTAAAGAGACAACGTCAACAAAAGCGAAGAGAAAAGGCTTTAATGAAACAAAACTTGAAAAACAATATAACTGAATCTGTGCCTAACGAAAAGAGTAAGCCAAAGCAGAAAAATAAGAAGACATCTCGTCAGAATGGACTTAATAATAAGCCTAAACACAATGTCAAGACACCACCTTTGCCAAAAAGTAGCACCAAGAAAATACTTATTGGCAAACGGAAAAGACAACCAGTTGTTAAAGATGATAATAAACGAAGAAAAATTCTTGTTGAATAATAAAAAGGTTTTAAATATGCAAAGATTGTAAATATATAATTTTCCAGCACATAAGGTAGTTATCTTTTGTTGTAATCCATTTTACTATTTCTACGTGAGATTTTCTAAAATCCTAATGCTCCACTTCAGCGTAATGATCAAAATTTTTACGGGGAATAAGTTAGTAGATAAGAGTCTGCAAATGCACCGTATAGGGTCAGAAAAGTTTTGTCTCATCGGTGTGAATTAGGATGAAAAGCTTTATGGCATTGTTTATTTGATTACTGTTAAACTGGCGTGCCATCGATATAGAAAACCTGTCGCTAACAGCTGTTCCCAACATCATCACCAACCAGTAGACAATGGGCTATTCATACAAATAAAGTTGTTAAAACTTGTAAAAATTGCTTACCAACGATGAATTTACTGGCTAGTTTGGAACTAGGCTTCATATATTGAATCACTGGGAGGCTGTTCATCATACTAGGCATTTGGTATGTCCTCAGTATGACCTTCCTAGGACTGCATTTTCATAGTCCCGTCACCTTCGTGAACTTTACTGTTTGCATGACCTACATGAATCATTCGAATTTATCGGAGGGTTATTCTTGTAAATGTTATCAAACACGGTTGTTAGAAAGTCAGCCGCTAGTGATTACCAACCTGCTTAGCCGACCAGTTCTGAATAACCTTGAGGCCACAGAACTGCTCGGATCAAACTAGTCAGAGGTTCGTATATTTAAAGAAGCTTAATTTTGAAAACTAAATATCCTGACCAACTTGAATCTAGTAAAAGACGTTTGAACAGGCTGTGTTTTGATCTATCTAAATTGGATGGCTGCGAGGACAAATTTGGGAAGATTTATCAGTATTTTTAGGCGTTGTAAGATCTTTCATGCAGTTTGAAGTTACCAAGAGTACCTCTAAAGTGACATGCCAAGTAACCATATCCACTATTGTGTTTTGTAAATGTAAGGTGTTTCAGTAAGATAACATATACAGTTCTTGTTTGACGATCCATCTAACATAGTTTGGTAGTATTAACCTCACGTGGGCCATAATTCCTATCACTGAAATGCAAATTGTGCATCTTATTCAGGAAATCGATATCTCAACAGGTGTTACTTTTGAGGGAAAGTTTTAAAATGTTCCTATATTGTTAACTTTAAGCAGAAATTCGGAACACATATCTCGTTACGATACCTTCAGAAAGAGTTATCACCGTCTTCCACAGTTTAGTAAAGTGACTCGTATATTCTTTAAAGAGTCAAAGAAATCAGGCGTTAAGTGTGGACCGCATAACAAATCACGGTTGTGGTACTGTGCATTAGGTTGTGAACTTCCATCGGCTTAGATGGCTGGGACGTATTGTTATGCCTGCCTAGTCACCCTCTGCCTCACCGCGCAATATTAGCTGAATTCGGTTTAGACTGGAAAAAGGTTCAGAGCAATCAGACTAAGACATAGTATTACTACATGAAGTCCTTAACTGTAGGTCTAAGCCGTGTACGGAATTGTAGACCTCCCGGTTGGGGTCCACGTGACAACAGAAACCACTGGTTGGAGACTAGGTGATTTGGCCCAGAATCGACCTAAGTATCCGCACTTTGTCTTAGCCGCTACACTGAGTTTAGTATTTTCTTATTCCTCCTTACTCTTCTCTACTGCTTTTCGTCATTTCTCTATTTCCTTGTTTTTCATCTTATTGCTAGATGTGCTGATATGAGGTGTGGCAATTTGGATTGTCGTGCAATAATGCCTGGTCTTATGTTGATATCGATGACGAGTATGCATGCTGATTATTTAATGATCAAGTATCTGAGTAGACCAGATAAGTGTCATCTGTAGTTAAAATGAGTTCCAAATGAAATTGATTGAGAAGTGTGTATGGATCGATCCGGGCAGTATCATTATCCCCACAAAATAGGTATGGCTTACTGCTGAATGCACTAGCGTGGAGGTGGTTGCAACTCTCTTACTTTTTTCGTAGTGTTCTGTTCATAGTTTTTGGCAGAAATTGACTATCTTTTCTTCTTAAAAAGCTTGGTTGTTTTTAAGTAGACATATTACTGCAGAAAGACTGGTAGCATTTGCCCTGGAGCATGTGTAGTCAGACAACATCTACTGAAAGTCAATTATAGCTGGGTGTTGAGTAGCATATATGCGAAACTAATGTAGGATACGACCTGTAAAGTGTTGATATTATTTTTAATAACTTGCCGTTTTGGTGTGCCTCAAGCAGATAAGTGACACCAATATTAGGCTACTTACAACTCACTCTGCAACCGTTGCCAACGACCAAAGCCATTCCTAGTCTTCTAAAACCCTGCTGTTGGTTTCACTTGATCAATGCAGTTAAATTCAATGGCCAGCTTTCATGAACTCGCCGGTGTAGATAGGATAAAATTCTCGATTAGATATTAAATAACAACTATCTGTGGGCTGTTCGACTGAATGGATCTGAAAAAAGTAGGAAGGATCGTGATGCCAACCGATGTCTATTTATGATCGTTTACACGCCCACCGGCTGCAGTTCGAATAGCGCAGAGGATGAATTCTGTCACAAGTCAGTTTTGCTACACAAATCAAAAATTTGAGGGAGTTGTGGAGATTCGGAAACATTTCAAGTTGTTATTCATCGTAGACTGACATCAGTTGGAGGAACAAAAGAAACGTAGGAGCACTGGACAGCTGTTTCGTCCTAGTATGGGACTCCTCAGCAGTGCGTACCCGCGACCTTCAGGTTCCGCGGCCAGCGCGTGGAGTCAAAGCCTGATGGTCGTGAGGACAGTTACTCAACGATGACATTGGGTGGCGGTTGCGCTATATCGTGAGCTAACAGAAGTTGGAAATATGGACCATTGGATTCTGACTCAGTGACTCAATTGTAACGCGCTGGCCGCGGAACCTGAAGATCGCGGGTTCGATCATTGGCGGGTGGGGTCGTGGGTGCGCACTGCTGAGGAGTCCCACACTAGGACGAAACAGCTGTCCAGTGCTCCCACGTTCCCTTTGTTCCTCCAACTGATGTCAGTCTACGACGAATAACAACTTGAAACAAATCAAAATGTTCAGATGTAATCATAATCACAGGTGACTTCAATGCTCGAGTAGGAAAGTTGAGCCAATCGGAAAGGTACCCACACTACCCATGCCAACGAACTGACAACGGTAGTCGTCTCTTGTGATTTTGTACTGACAATTACTTGTTTTTGGCTAACACTATCTCATTTAACGTCCGATGCACTTTTTTTCGGAGTTCTACGTTGATTTTATCTTTCTATCTGTCATTGCGAACGGTTATTCGGATCAAACGCGTACGCGTTGGCTAGTTAGAACTTTCAATACCGTCATAAACAAGTGCTTATTGATATTGTTCTACTAACGATAAGAAGCAGACAAAATTATATTAACTGTGGTTATATCAGATCCTTTGTGTTTCGAAAGAAATAACCATTCGTTGACTTAACAGTACACAGCTTCCACTGCTGAAATACAATCATGGTAAGTAAGTAAGTAACAAGAGTTGATCCTATAGTGAAATCTATACACACTATACGGCATGTCTTGATGATGATGGTGAACTTATATACTATCAAGCTTAGCTTAACTGAAAGGCCACATGCTATTATCTGCACGAAATGCAACTTTCCCACTGAAAGGCTGTAGGATATGATCTCATATTTGAAACAAAAACAATGTGAAGATCATCATTGAAAGTTTAAATATACAATATTCAAAATCTATAACGACATTTATATGAAAACACAGATCAAAAAAAGAAGAGAAATTAAACGTATATATTTATGATTTGATTTTTTTCATTGGAATAATGTTAATTCTTTAACCAGATTCCAAAGCCACTACTGCACCCTCTGTATGTACAACACCCCATAAGCCTTCTTTCAAGTAAATCTTTATATCTTTTATCTGTTCACTATTGATTAGATTCTGATACAACTTGTAGTCATGACTACTCCATACTTGATATGTTTTCAGTATATTGTTGATAATATCCAGTTTAGCTTGCATAAGTTGTATTTTATTATCTGAAAGACCAAGTTCTGTTTGACGATTGAGTAAATATTCAAGAAATCCAGGTTGTTGTATTATCTGTCGAACTCCCCAAGGCTGTTGATAGAATAAGAAGGAAAAGTTGATGAGACAGGTTAAACGATACATTATGTATATGACTCTATCATCCATCAATCGTATGTATGGTAGACTTATAACAAAAACAGATTTTTTTGTCACGGAAAATCAAGAATATGAAACAAATAGTCCTTTCCATGAACTAAAGTAATTAGAAGATGTAGTACATCTGATCATCCATTTACTTATTTTATGAACGATGGAAATCGGAGAAGGATAAACATGACATAAGAGATGTTATATTCATCTTGATTAGTAGCAGGGAAATCCAGGACATGCGTTTCGTACCATTTGAGACTTAAGCTGAATGTACCTGCGCCCCAGTGAGTGGTGTTCACACTAGTACTCGAACCCCATCGCTTAGAACACCAAAGCATTATCCACTGGGACACCATAGCCACCTCTTGTGCAACGGCTATCAGTTGATGTCTATCGTGCCCCAGTGGATAACGCTTTGGCGTTTCAAGCGATGAGTACTGGGGTTCGAGTACTAATGTGAACGACACTTACTTGGGTGCAGGTACATTCAGCTGACTGGTGAGTCCCAAAAAGGACAAAACATACATCCTAGATTCCACTCCTAGTCACCAAGGTGAATATACACTATGAACTGCCGGTAGGATCACGTTATCTCCACAGCAGCCCATCTGCCAACAGAAGTTGAGCAATTCAGCCATGTATAGCAACAGCAAATTACAAGTATCAAAATGATATAAAGAAATTTAATAATAAGTATACCCCAAACCAAGTCAGGATTTGATGATTTTAATAAATACGAACATCAGGTAAATTGTATTATTCGTTAATTTGTTACTTGTATTTCCTATTGAATGTCAAACAAATTTGTTTTACATTTACTGAGAAATACAAATATTAAAAAATAATAAGAAAAGTAATTAAGTGAGCATGATAAGTTTTGAAGACATCAGCTTTGGTAAATTTATGCGTGGACATACATACATAGGTGTAGGACTAGTCGAGAAATCCACTCGAGAGTTGTAGAACATGTAAAAAAAAAAGCGGCTGAATTCACAAACATCGATAATCGCAGGTGGCAGATAGACGTCGTTATTCGCTGCAAAACATATAATCGACAAAAATTATAGGATTGATATTAAAACATCTTTTAGGATGTTGTATAGAAACTGTCAGAGGTGTATGCTAAGACATATTGAAGCGCTGGCTATACACAAATTAAAGCACACCCCTCCCCCTTATGTGTTCCAAAACAGTTTCTCTTTGCCCTAAAACTACCCTGATAATATTTATTGTATTATCAAGGTTGTCTTTAAAAAGTTATCATTCTACTTTAATTAACTTTGTTATCATGAAATTCTTTTTTGTTATGTTTATCCTTCTCCAATGTTCATTATTCACATAAAATCCCTTAATTAGTAAATGTATCATCTGATGGTTTGAAATCATACATCACAGTTTTCAAATAAACTACATCTTTTAATTACATCACCCAAAATCGAGAATAATCTTAAAACACTGTTTGAGTGACTTAAAATAAGATTATTTACATAACTTTAAACAGGCAAATATAAAACTTCTTATATAACATATATTGTAATAAACGGTGATATCTATTGCCTTAATGTTTTTTCGATAATCAATAAGATAACCTCATAGTGCCATATAAGTTAATATACAAAACGTTTTTTTTTAAAAGATTTTACATTAATGGGGCAAGTCTAACTCCATTAAACACGTGTAAAAGTTGCTTTTTACATGTAAGAAAAAAAAATACATCTTGGAAATAACTGTAAAAAAAGCGTACGTACAGATGTAACTCAGAGTAAAATGGAGGTATGACTTAATGGTTTAGGGATATGACTTTCAGCTAATGGGTCACGATTTCGTACCCCCACTGAGGTTTGGACAGCCAGATAGTATCATCAATAGCCGTCATATAATAGGAATGGTTCATTGCCTACTGCACGAATGTGCACAAAGTTGCTGAGTACATCTAGTTATACATCCCAGTAACACTAGGACCGTATACTACTAAGTTGTTAATAGTAGCTATTGTATTCAAAAATTAACCTAATCGCTATGTGCGGGCATGAAATTCTGGTGTTTAAGACAGATTGTTAGATAACAAGCAATTTTGCGTTAGTTACTTAAACAAATTTTTCAACGATAACAGTTGAATAATGGTACAAGCTGTTCATTGCTCCGACTGTCATTACACAGAAAATAGTCAGTACAGGTATTGAAAGAGTTAAATCCAGATTTCATATATTCTGGCATTCATCACAGTAAGGTTTACCTACAACTTTCATATAACTGATGCTTTTTCGATTTCGGAAACCCAGCCACTACCACCACATAGAGACATGACAAATATCATTCGAGGATAACAATTTACGTTTGTTTATCCATTTTCAAGCTGACTATGAAGTAGAACAAAAACGATTAGATTTTCAACCCGTTAGTTCCCCTGGCTGTAAAACACATTTATAATCCCCATCTCCACTTGTTATATCCTTGTAGGGACTGCCGTATATGTGGACGCTTGGGCAATAACCTTAAGATTTCACTCATAGCTGACCACTCAGTTTCTCGATAAATGGAAAAGGTAGCAAGATAACCAAGACCTTCTCTATTTCCAGGTCTTTCTAAGTTTGAATGTCCTATTAATTTCCATACATATGCTTCCTCTCGAAACTTCGATGTAACATGACTGGTTGTAGAAAGCTACAGGAATTTATGGCTTTTTATGAAGATTATGGCAAACTTATCCCACAATACAAAAGGCATTTTCGAGTTATCATGGTGACGCTTATTAGCATTATCTTACTGTAGCTTACTAGGGTCTATTGTAGCAGCTACACTATAATTCTTCGATCGACGTTATCCAATAAATCCCGATCGGAAATTCACAACCAGAAATCCAATGAAATCTCTTCTCCAGCTGGATATTCGTATACAGATAAAATACTTGAAATGCTCACGTATGTCAACAAATACAGACGACTAATGAAGACAATACATCTTTGAAACGTACCTGTGTTGCGATGGCATCAATCGCCTTGAATACAGCTGCACGCACCTCGAAAAATGGTTGAGTTCCTAGTGAATAAAGACGTTTCAATAGTGGAACAACTAAAGCTTCTTTCTCTTCTATTGAATTCATTTTTGTTAGATCAGTATTTTTCTGGCAGGAATATATTGCCCAATTAAGAGAAAGCATTGCATCATCAAGTAAATCATTGGAATTTAACCCATCTGGTCGGCGTAGAAGAAAACTATAACATTCAACTGCTCGAGTGCATATCTCAGTCGGTGAATTAGATATTAAAAGAAAAAGTTTTCCCAAAACACTATGCAATGGACCATTTTTAGCTAAAATCAAAATAAGAAAGATAACACTGAATAATGGAATATGGATCCATACAAGTGATGGTATCTAGGTAACAGAGTTACAAATAGATAGAATCACTTGATCTTACAGTAATGTTCATCCGAGCTCCTTAAATCTAAAAAAAATGTAAAGATGAGTCATAGGATTCATTTCTGTACATCTATTACATTTGTTGCACATATACCATTCCACCTCTTCACTGTCATCCAACAAAACTTTAGCTATGAGGATATTTACACAAACAGCTTATCATCAAATTAAACCTTTCTCGATCAATTGGGTCTCAAAAACAAAGTGTATCTAAATTGTTCAAATGTACTGCATAAATGAATTATATGACTCATCAAATAAACTGTCCTCTTATTGCTCCATTGAGACTGTACAAACAAATTAGTATAATATACACTAAATAACTCAAATTAATTAATGTTGACGCTTGGCATTCTGGTGTTTGAAGCGATAGATCCCGAGTTTAAGTCCTAGTGGGAAAAATATCGCTAATTGGAAGGCAGGTATATCCAGCTGATGAGTCTTAAATAAGACGAAATGCACATCTTCAATTCCGCTGCTAACCAACCGCTATCTGTTATTAATATATAACTCAAATTATTTGTTGATTCAATTGTAAAATTTCTTATTATAACCTATTTACATACATCATTCCAAACAAAAGTTAAAAAGAATTTATAAATTAGTGGCATATGTTGATCTGAAGCTACTCAGACGTTCACCACTCCCTAGCTAGTAATCATCAAAACTACACATTTTGATATTGATAAAGACTGATAGTGGACAAACAAGTAATAGTAGGTAATATTAAATTTAAGTTTTTAACCTGGTGGATTGATATTCGTATTGTTCACCTAGAATCAGATAATCAAACCTTGGATAAATAACCTGAACAAAGCACCGAAGATACTCGCAGTCCAGTTTCACTGACTGGATGAAACGTAGTGAGCATGTGAATATCTTATTGGCATTACTGATGTTCTAAGTCACCGAATACTAGCTGACATTGGTGGTAATTCTATCAGAAAGAATTGTCATTGGATCTTATTTAAGTGCGACGTTTATTGAGGAAAAGAAGTAGCAGCACCGAAGGAAGCGATTATTTAACTTATATTGCTACAGGTTGTAAGTAAGTGACCAATTGATTTAGTAAACTAAGTTTTTTCCTATCCCTAGTGTTTCATTTAAAACGAAGCAGTTGGTACAGTAAAGTGCCATATCCAACAGCCAAACATGGAAATAAGTCAAAAAGACAACCTTTCAAACACACTGTTATATATATATATATATATATATATATATATATATATATATATATATATATAATGCTCAGTAGAAAAGAAAAACATATCCTTACCGAATAGTTTATTTAAAGTAATTCGACCAGTCGAATTACTTGCTATGTATCCAACAGTTTCAATTGCCATCATAGAAATAATAATGTTCTTATTTTCTACTGCATTGGCTAAAATATTTCTGAATCTTTCATCGTTTGAATCTAGCCAATAATTAGAATTCTGTTTGGCTAGATTACCAAAAAAGGTAATATATCCTTAAAGGGGGAAAAAGAAGCAAATAATACACATTGGTGTGATTTGTTTTTCAGTAAACAACAGCAACCACAAACTTTTAAAATATTACATTTATAAATCGATGAGGATAAGGTATACACTTTAGTAAATTATGATCAAAAACGTCTCCAGGTAAACTGAAGAGCTTTATCGGCTGTGTACTATAAATTCTAATAAAAAATAATTCAGATAATCTATCCGATCTATTTTGGTGTACCTAGGACTATGAGTTACACTTAGTATGTTAAAACTTATAATGCTATCCATTAGCTAGGGATGATGTAGGTGGTGGGGAATTTTGAACCCCGGACCTGTAGGTTAAAACTTGATTCTTCAATCCATAGCTGTTACTGCAGTCTAATTCGATGAACAAGATCAGATTGAGTTGCTTTGGAGTGGGTTGGACTTTAGTGTTGGCTTACCGAAAAAACTTATACTAAGTCTAGGCAAATGAATGAAGCATTTCTTTTCCTGGATATTTGGAACAAAATATTATATACAAGACACAAAAATCACGACAAAGTTGAAAACCAAGAGAAGGATAGACTAAAATCTGATTATCTTACATCAAAAATGAAAACTTAAAGTATGGTAGTGAATATTTGTAGTTCAGGTGGATCGTCTTGGTTGTATTGTGTTCTCTGAGCTAGGTTGTCTAATCGTGGAGCTTCCATCGTCTTCAGTACGAAGTAAGTGCTGAAGATGTCGTCTAGAAAGACGATGAAAGCTCCACGATGAAACGACCCAGCTCAGAGAACACAACCAAAACTTAAAGTATATATTTCAGTGATTAAAGTTTGCTACTAAATGTGTGTTACCTTACCTGAACATTGTAAAACAGGTTTTTAGAACCCCAGTTACCAAGATTTGATGTGTTTCACCAAATTCTAAACTATTAATGGGGGTAGTGGCTAGCAATGAAATTCAGAACGCGCGTCTCATTCTGCTTGGGAATCATCAGCTGAATGTGCCTGCCTCCCAGTGAGTGATAGTGTTCCCATTAAGACTAGTGGACAACGCTCCGGCATTTGAGGCAATCGATCTCGGGAACAACACCGCTCTCTGAGAGGCAGGTACATCCAGCTGACGAGGTTCAAGTAAAACGAAACTCACGTCCTCGATTCCACTGCTAGCCACTATCCAACAATTATATATAGGTGAAACACAGGCCATATCTAGGCATCTGCGCAGGAGCCCATATGCCAAGAGACCGATCAATTTGGTCCAATCAGTGACGAGATAATACAAGTAACGACATAAATTCCACACTAACTTGTAAATGTCTCATATTATGAGACCGTTAGGAAATGTTAAAATATTTCCTCTTTTAAGAAACCTTATACACGGCTAAAGCAAACACAAGAATATGAGAAGGGATATAATATGCCTGAAAATCTTTGCTTTTGATTACTAAACACACAAAAGAGCAGAATGTCAATAGTTAACATTCTCCCAGTCCTAGTCAATACAGTGTGCAGTCGAATAGATGATAACCTTACTGTAAGAATACGTGACACGTATTCACTTAGTGATTCTTGTGCAATATATATATATATATATATATATATATATATATATATATATATATATATGTAAACACAACTCAGCTCTTGCCTTATATACATCATCATTATATCGCTTCACCTGCTGCGGTTCCCGGCAGCCAGATCCAATCGTTAGTACTCGCACAATAGATGTGCATCATTGTCTACTGAATAAAAGTGCAAAACGTTGCTGAGTGTATTTCGATTTCGTAGTTGATATCCGATATACTTCGAGTAAACAGATGGTATTGTCCAGCCAGGAGAAGATGCGTTCAGGGAAAGCTGATTACATTTAGCGTGCGTCTCACACATACCAAATGTAAGATAACCCTTCACAATTGGTCTGCAACTACTCCCACTTCTGTAATAAAGAGTGAAGTGGTGGAATGCATTGACCACTTCAATCACTTGCGGAGTTGCATCAGTCCAAACACGTTGGTTGCTGACGAAATCACAGCTCATTCGGCACTTACTTACTTGCATCCTCTGTCGCGCGGACTAGCGACATATCCGACTATCCATTAAAGAATCAGTGTACTGCACTGCAGTCTGTTCTGACCTGTTATAATGTCGTGACATGGCCGTTGAAAGTAGAAAACATGAAGTGAGGACAGGGTTTTGATCATAGGTGTCTTCGTAGCATTGCTCGTGTTTGGTGGAATCACCTACGTTGAGGTCAGGCAAAGGGTAATAGACAAGATGGCTAAGTCAATTGATGAAGTTATGAACCTTCATCTGCTGAGATGGCAAGAACATGTATTGTGCATGTCGATTCACCGCCTACCTTCACGTACCATGCTAAGTGAAGTTGGATTAGGTTGGGATTATTCAGAGTGGCCAGATCAAGAAGTAACATCAGTCGATGAAGTCCCTGACTGTTGATCTGAGCTGTGTGGGGAGATTTAGACTGCCTAGCTGGGGTGACGCGATAAGAACTAGTGGTTTAGAACTCTTGGTGATGTGGCTGAAAATCGGTCACAATGGTGCAGATATTTTCACTCTTTGACGCTTTCTACAGCTTGAATATCCACAATAAGCTTTATCATCAAATTATTTACTCTCTAAAGCAACTTTTTCTGCTTTGAGATCAGTCTTTTTCTGTCCACTTGTTCTTTGTATACTACTGTGAAGTGTGTCAACGTGAACCGATTCACTTCTGTGCGAGATTCTACATTGATTTTGTCTTTCTGTTTGTCATTCGTTATACTTTAGTTTTATTATCTGAATAAAATGGTACCGTTAAGAACTTCTTTGAGCATCTGTTCACATGCTTTAAACATTAACTTTCGTAAGTACAAAATAATTTACCATAAATAATTGCAAACAGTGAGATGTGACAATGAAATATTGGAACTTAGATTATGCATGTAATTCGCAATAAACAAAATAATTAAACTCACCAGGGAGTAATAAATCAGCTAATGAATTCGAACTAAATGACTGCAAATCATCCAGAAGTCTAGAGAAGATATTCTGTTCATTGAGAAAGAGATATCCAGCTTCCGAATTACTCAACGTTTTGGCTAATTCTAACCAGTTCAAACATACTAGTGGATCACTTGAACCCAAACCATCCACAATAGGTTGAAATAAACCAGATTTTTTAACATCTTCAAACACTTCAGGACGTGTGGAAACCAAATGTACAGCAAACTTAGTAAATTAATAAAAAGTTTTGTTGACAAATTACTTCAGAAACTCTTATTGAATGCTCTGGTGTGGAACATAACGATTTCAATGTGCTCGCTACAGGAGTATCCAAAACTTTTTTTAAACCCAATGGACATTTTGCGGCTGGAGATTATAATTCATATGGCTAACTATATTTTGTATTACCTAGAGTTATCAGGAAATTTTGTGCTTCCGTAGATACCGAAAGTTTTTCATGAAGAACTAATCGAGCTGCAGCCTCCAGAATGCGATCTGGCAAATTTTCTGTTGAACCGTCAGCTTCAGCCGCACTAGCCCTTAACTCCATGCTTAGAACAATGGTAATTTTATATAGTTACCCTTTTAAGAATGAATTCGATTAAGTCAAATTTAGTTGATTCAAGTATCAAAAGTAATTCATCTTGATGAGATTGAACAAAGTTGAACAATGATACGAGAGAAAATATGATGGAAGCTAATTTCATTGCAATATGGGAAGATTGCCTAACAATAAGAGATAATAAGTAGAAAATGATTTCACAAACTTGTCATGTAAATTAATAGACATCAAGGCCTTTAAAATATCGCATCGTTGGAAAACAGAATGCAATTCTGTTGTTGAGAGATTGGAAAGAATCAAACAAATACGTTCATAATCTTCAATGCTGCCATTTTCAGATGAAACCTTTGAGATGAGACTGAATAATTCATCAGGAATAGTCATTCTGTAATTGATTATTTTTCCTGAAAGAACAAAATTAGCGCGATAATATGACAATTTGTTTCTTTGCCGAGATAAGAAAACAATAGCCAGTTTTAAAAGTGTGAAAAAATGCAAACAAATTAGAGAGCCTGTAGCAACCTTGTCCACATCCGTGCAGTAGGCAGTGGACACACCTATCGTGTGAGGGCCAATGATACAACCTGGCCGCCCAAACCTCGGTGTTCAACCCCGCTACCCACCGGCTGAAAATCATCACCCTAAACCAATGAGCCTGTAGAAACTAAATGAAATGATATAACCAATACTGACTAATACACACATACACTGGAAGGATGTTACATTATCCCGAAAAACTTTGTTTTAAATGTTAGTTATACAACCAAATTAACCTCGCCTGGTTAACTAGTTTACTAGTTACTAGCCGGTCCTAAGCCCGGGTATACAGGGAAGGTTGGGCATAGGGCTAGCAACCCTACCCCGTAAAACAAATCTAACCGCTAAAGAAACTTCAATGCACAAACAAAATATAAAAAATGAAAACAAACTTATTCCCCGCTGGAATCGGAGAGGCGAAATGACGCCAGTTGGTGAAAGCCTGCCTTCGGGAAGCCAATTGGCCGATGTGTCTTCTCTCCCTCGATGAAAGCGAAAGTAAACGTGGGGACATGGAATGTCCGCACGATGTTTGAACCCAGTAAGGCAGCCCAGATTGCAAAGGAGATGAGAAGGTATAACATCGAAGTGCTTGGGATTTGCGAAAGCAGATGGAATGGGAGTGGACTCTCCAAACTGTCAACTGGAGAATCAATAATCTACTCCGGTCACCCAGACGACAACCACGAGCACACTGAGTTATGGAGTGGCTACCATGATGTCCTCAAGAGCATCGAAGGCTCTCATGCAGTGGGAACCAATCTCCTCCAGGATCATGACAGCAAGATTCAACTCAAAAGGAAGAAAGGTCACAATCATACAATGTTATGCACCTACAAAGAATGCAGAGCAAGAGAAAAAGGAGGAATTCTACAGACAACTTCAATCAACACTGGACAAGACTTCAGTTGGCGATATCAAAATTCTAATGGGCGACATGAATGCCAAACTGGGAGGGGACAACATGGGAAGAGAACTAACCATGGGTCGAGAGGCGCTAGGTGAAATGAATGAGAATGGAGAATTGTTTGCAGAATTCTGTGCATTCAACGATTTGGTGATTGGAGGCAGTGTGTTCAGGCACAAGGATATCCACAAAGCGACATGGATTTCACCAGATGGACACACTAAAAATCAAATCGACTTTATCTCAATCTCAAGAAAATGGAGACGCAGTCTACTTAACACAAGGTCAAGAAGAGGAGCAGATGTAGGCTCAGACCACTACCTAGTGCAAGGAACCTTCCAAATCAAGTTGAAAGCCTTCCAGGAAGCTGGTGATAGATCTCAATTCAAGTACAACACTCGCAAACTGAAGGATGAAACTACAAAGGAGATCTTCAAGGCAGCCATCAAGACAAAATGGGAGACATCGAGCAACATCCCTGAAGAAACCTGTGTGGAAGAACACTGGAAGTCTTTGAAAGCTATGTGGAAAGAAACCTGCACAACAGTATTAGGAAGGAAGAAGAAAGAAGACAAGGAATGGATCTCGACGGATACCTGGAAGCTGATAGAGGAGAGGAGGATGGTGAAGCAGAAGATAAACCAGTGCAAGGATGCTCAACGACAAGAGGAACTGAGCACAATGTATAAAACACTGGACAAAGAAGTGAAGAAGAGTGCACGCAAAGACAAAAGACACTTCTACGAAACACTGGCAAGTGAAGCAGAACAGGCTGCACGTAAGAGAGACCTGACGACATTGTATCAAATAACCAGGTTGCTATCAGGGAAGAGACCAACACAGATGAAACCAATAAAAGATGAAGAAGGAAATTTAATTACGAAAGAAGAGAAGCAAAGGAAACAATGGGCCGACCACTTCAAGAAGCTCTTGAATCGACCACCACCTGCACTTCGTCCAGAAATACCACCTGCAGCCGCTGAATTACAAGTGAACATTAATCCCCCAACGAAAATGGAAGTCCTGATCGCCATAAAGCTACTGAAATGCGGGAAAGCAGCAGGACCAGATGGAATACCGCCAGAAGCACTGAGAACAGAGGCAGAGACAACAGCGGACATGCTCACACCACTATTGCAGAAGGTGTGGAAGGAAGAGAAGGTACCGGACGATTGGAAGAAGGGTTACCTTGTCAAACTGCCGAAGAAGGGAGACCTCAGTGCTTGCAAGAACTGGCGCGGAATTACTCTCCTGTCCACCCCAAGTAAAATATTGAGCCGCATCATCCTGGAGAGGCTTAAAGATGCACTGGATTCAAAACTGCGACCGGAACAGGCAGGCTTCAGGAAGTACAAATCATGTGCAGACCAAATTGCAACGCTTCGTATCATCATAGAACAGAGCATAGAATGGCAATCAGCTCTATACCTCAACTTCATCGACTTTGAGAAGGCCTTTGACAGCGTCGACCGAGAAGTAATTTGGAAACTGCTTCAATACTACGGAGTACCGCAAACCTTTATCCGCCTCATTCAACAACTATATGAAGATGCCACATGCCAAGTAATCCATAATGGGAAGCTCAGTGATGCCTTTGAAGTGAAGACAGGAGTGAAACAAGGTTGCCTACTATCCCCCATGATATTCCTTATTGTGGTGGACTGGATCATGCAGCAAACAGTAGGCAGCGAGAAGAGGGGGATACACTGGACGACGGAAAAGAACCTAGAAGACTTGGATTTCGCCGATGACTTATGCCTAATGTCACATAAACTTGAAGATCTGCAGGCAAAAACTAACAAGTTGATAGAAGAGGCAGCTAAGACGGGACTCCAGGTGAATATAGAGAAGACAGAAGTGATGAAGATACCGCACCACCACCATCAACAACAACAACAAACTCCAATCACCGTCAACGGGAGGAACTTAAAGGAAGTAACCTCCTTCACTTATCTAGGAAGCACTGTTTCAACTACAGGCGGGACGGACGAGGACGTCAAAGTCAGAATCGGAAAAGCAAGACAGGCGTTCATTAGCCTGAAACCAGTGTGGAGATCTTCTGTACTCAGCATGCGGAACAAGATACGGATTTTCAACACCAACGTCAAGTCAGTGCTCTTGTATGGCTCAGAGACTTGGCGCGTCACGAAAGGCATTTCCAATAAACTACAGACATTCATCAACAACTGCTTACGCTGGCTCGCTACTGAAGATCAGATGGCCAGAAAAAATAAACAACAAGGAACTCTGGGAACGAACCAACCAAGAACCTATCACCCAACAAATATGCAGGAAGAAGTGGAGATGGATTGGCCATGCACTGAGAAGGCCGACTGAAGACATCACGCGTCAGGCCAGTTGCTCGAGTGGAATCCCCATGGGAAGCGACGAGTTGGACGTCCAAGGGTGACATGGAGGAGGTCATGCGAGGAGGAAATGAGAGCTTCTGGGCTGTCGTGGAACCAGGTTCAAAAGATCTCAGAGAACAGAGGTCACTGGAGGCGTGCTATTGAAGCCCTATGTTCCACTAGGAACTCAGGGGACTAATAATAATAATAATAATAATAATAATAATAATAATAATAATAATAATAATAATAATAATATACAACCAAATTAAGTCATACTTCGTTTTTCTACGTTCTAAAAGTAGTCCTACTAGCAAGTTAGTTCAGATTTATTTCTAAGAGACGTATATAAAACGAAACCTAGTAACAAGTTAATCTAAAATTAACTACTTTTATATTAATTGACTTAGCTGCACAAATAAATTTGACTGTGGATTTTGAAACACAACGTATATCCTAACATTTCATGGCATTATCTCATAAACAATAAGAAAATAAAAGGAGTGGATGATCGAGTCATAATAACGAACAGATATCCAAACCAAATTGAGATTTAATGGCTTCAAAGAATTTATGCAATTGGCTAATGATATTTATTATTTCAGTATTTATATTTCCTAACGAACATAAAATAGAACAAAGATGTTTTAAATAACAATCCAAAGTATACATGTGATAATCTGATTTGAATTATCATGCATAAAGTGCAGCGTCTTCTGGATACGGTGAGCGGAAATCTGAGTATATTTGGCATGCGTCTCACACATACCAAATGTAAGATAACCCTTCACAATTGGTCTGCAACTACTCCCACTTCTGTAATAAAGAGTGAAGTGGTGGAATGCATTGACCACTTCAATCACTTGCGGAGTTGCATCAGTCCAAACACGTTGGTTGCTGACGAAATCACAGCTCATTCGGCACTTACTTACTTGCATCCTCTGTCGCGCGGACTAGCGACATATCCGACTATCCATTAAAGAATCAGTGTACTGCACTGCAGTCTGTTCTGACCTGTTATAATGTCGTGACATGGCCGTTGAAAGTAGAAAACATGAAGTGAGGACAGGGTTTTGATCATAGGTGTCTTCGTAGCATTGCTCGTGTTTGGTGGAATCACCTACGTTGAGGTCAGGCAAAGGGTAATAGACAAGATGGCTAAGTCAATTGATGAAGTTATGAACCTTCATCTGCTGAGATGGCAAGGACATGTATTGCGCATACCGATCCACCCCTCTATCTGGACACATCACGCTTGGAAAATCTAGATTCGGCCGAGATAGGGTTCAGGGTGTCCAGACTAAGGGGTGACACTAGTCAATGAAGTCCCTGACTGTTGATCTGAGCTTTGTCGCGAGATGTGGACTACCTGACTAGGGTCCCCGAGATGACTGGGGTTAGTAGTTGAGATCTTTTGTTGATATGGCTGAAAGTTGGTGACAGTGGTGCAGATGTATTCACTCTTTGAGGCTTTCTAAAGCTTGAATATTCATACTAGTCTTTATCTTCAAATTGTGTTTTGTCACGCAACTTTGTCCACTTTGACATCACTCTTATTCTATCCAGCTGTCTTTGTATACTGGAGGTAACTTGAATGTAGAGTAATAAGACGCCAATAAAGTGACCGTGCGTAGTCACAAATATCAAATTCGAAGAGATGGGTAAGGTACGGGCTAAAGGCAAAAGGTTGCTTAGATTTACAAAGACCGGTAAAATAGCTAGAGTCAAGTAAAATTACAGTTGAAGTTGATTGAATGCTACAAGCACAGTAAGAGCGGCTATAACGATTGACAAAACAATCTGAGGAACAACTCAACTGGTCTTTAGTTGATCTTAACTGAGTAGGTTTCCTGGATGAAGGAAGATGTATTGAACAAAAGGTTTGAACCCCACGAATATGGCTAAAAGTCAATCACAGTGGAGCAGACAAACCCTACTTTCTTTAAAATCATAAGAGAAAAAAATATATTATTACTCATGAACGTACGTCTTTAACCAAGACTTGATTGAAAAAGAAAGGACTTTATCATGTATTCATTTGTCTGAAGACAGAACTTAACCCCACTGGTAAAAACCTTTCCTGCAAGTGTCCATTGCTACGGCGAATGTTGAATAGATATCAACTGTTTACATGCTATAAATAAATTTGTTGCAAGCAGCTTATAAAGACAGTCCATCAGTTCCTTAGTGGTTAGGCTTACGTATCAGAATTTCATACTGCATTTTTTATCACGCCATTGAGTTGCGTTTCCATTAATTTTTTCTACAGTGAAGGTAACTGTTAACATATTTATTTGAGTTGATGACAAACGTATTTCTTCCTCCCATAACTCACTTTGATTACATTTTTCCAGCAGGTTTCCATTATGGTATACCTTCAGCTGACTTAAAATGTTAGAACAACGCTTAACTATTACATTAGACGGTAAATTTATTCGTTTGCCGTCGGGCTTGTGGAGACTAAGTCAATACTTTCTTTTTATCAATCCTTATATTGGAAATTATGTTTCTTCGTGTCGCTTTCTACGTTTTCGTTGATACATGTAAAAACAAGCGATTGTTTACCTGTAATGACCAATTTCCTACAAATGCATTTTCAGTTCGGGTGTCGCTTCCGTGAAAGTGTACGTTAACCAACTACGCTGTTTTCGTCTACTTTGAGCCTCTGCCCAAGATCGGTACTAATATTGTTCTTCATAAAAATTTCACAGAAAACCCATCACCTACTTCCAAACGCAATCATAGTCAGTTCTACGGCAGTATTTCACAAGCTTTGTCGTCATTGCATTCTTCAATTAATCAAATCGCGTTGCTAGGGCTAAATTTGTGGTAAATTGGATTTACTGAGAATTTATTAAAGTAAATTTATTTTGAATAAATTTACGGTACACATTGGCCTTTCTACTACACTTTTATTTCGGTACGAATCTTTGTTGCTTTCTAAATTACTGTTAGTAGTTACAGATAACAAGAAATTAGTTTTTGTGTTGATTGTTTCTCAGTCCATTACAGATTCACCAGTGGAGTACCCGGACAATTTCAACTCAGAGAGATGAATTGTTCAGATCTGCTGAATTTAGCTAGCTGACTTGAATGAGTCGGTATGCCACTAACTGGATGATTGATGTGAAAATTATTTACGAGTTGCACTGTCTATGCTGACATTTTGTAAAGCTGAATACTTTATCGACTACCCACCCAAATGTGGTATCAACAGGGTTTGCACTTGAAGCCACTCAGAAAAGATCACAAGTTTGACCTCTAACATAAGTGTCCTTAACTAACGAAATCTGTGACTGAACAACAAGATGTGAATCGACGGCTTAGGAACCTAACCTTCAAGTAATAAGTCCTGGGTTCGAACCCGGCCCCACTCTCTTTGGCTTGGGCAACCGGGTGTTATCATAAACTTCCACACAGTGTGAACGACTGGACAATTCTTCACCAATTTGAAAAGTGGTGATTCAAGACAGTCATATGTTTGTGTGTGTGATAAGCTGAAAGATAAAAATGGCTGCTAAGTAAATTTTACCAATTTCATCCTGATATCAATTTTGAGATCAGAAACGAACGTTGGAGCACATTTAGTTTCATGAATTAAACAAATGGGTAAATATCTTATTTACAAACCTAGTTTCATTATTCTTAGTCTGTCACGCGTTTACCATAGTAAAGGTGATTTTTGAGAAAACAAAGTTATTCATGGAGAACAGATACCTACAATAAAAGATGAACTGAAGTAAGACCGCCAGAATGATTTCTGTTGATCACAATAGCTTAGTCTAAACTAATCAAACTTCACTATCCTAAAGGTCACAAATTACGCCGTCAATAATCAACATTGAAAAAGAAGACGAACAACGAAGCTATACACCACTGGGCAATGAATAGCTGTAGTAAAGAATATAGTAACCACACTACTTACAGAAATGACAAAAAGCGACTACCATGGTTTCAATTAATGTAATTAGTGATAAATTATTTTCCAGGATTTCAGAATGCAATTACTTGGTGATAGGATTTGAGAAAATAATCGTATTTCCTGACACGAAAGGTACTATATCACTTCGATGTATATTTTTCCACTTGTTACGGATAAATAAGAAGAATAAACACTTTATTCCGAGAGATGTCCGGAAATTTATCTCAAGAACAAAACTCTTCATTACTAGTGTAGTTGAAACATGCAACCGCAACGTACTCGTTTCCAGAAACTACCGTGTTGTTATTATCATACAACTTTTGGACAGACAGATACACAGTAAAGGCATCTAATCCACCCCTATCTGTAGCTGTTGGTTATTCTTAGTGCATTATTTTCACAAATAATGATTTGAAAATGGAAGAAAACGGAAGTTATCTCAATATAGCACTCCTAATACCTATATGTATGTATGACAACAGCTGGCAACTTATCCAATTCTTTCTTTCTAAAACTTACGTTAGATTACATACACATTACTAATCAGTTCATCTAATTTACACAGTTTTAATTTTCGACATTCTCCAAACAATTATCCACTTAGCCGCTACAATGAAGTAATACATTCCTGAAGGTATTTTAGTTGCTGCATGTCATTACTATAACGTAAAGCACGTCTCAAACTTAAATATACTTTCCTATTTCAATGTGGGAAAAAACTAAGCTGTGAGATGCCTCACCCTTTTAACCTACCTTCGTTGAAAAAATTACTTCGGACAAACGTTCACATATGCCAGCGCGAAAACTCATCCCCACTGTTTGCAGATACCAACTTACTTTGCTTACCGATAGGGCCCTAAACTCTTCAACCATATAATCGACAATCCAAGTCACATGACTTATGTGGATGAACGAGACAATCAATTTACGACAAGAGCACTTATGGATGATAGGGCCTAATCCTCACGCTAACTCATGATAAGGCTACAATATGATACATACACAAATAAATATCCTTAAGGGAACCCGAAATTAATAACATCCAGTCCCGCGGCTTAATAGTCTCAAAAAATCCACCAAAATGCATTTGATGGATTGTTTTCACCTCTAGATAAGATCATACTTATAACGACGTAAGAATGATGCGTAACTGTAAGTCAATCACGGGTAATTTCCAACATATACCTAGAATGAATAAGCAGCATACGCTTATATATATTGTGTAACGATCTAATTGAAGAAGTGCGGTATCCAATATATCCAATATTGATAGTGCGAGCGTAGAAAACTGGTAGTTTTTGATCTCTCGCGTCTAGTTCTTAGGGCTTGGTTCCAGTTGTTCGGTTTACTCCTGCAGTGGACGAGGAAATACCCTCTGCTTTCTTGCTTTTAGCTTCGGTGAGGTGGATGTTTTGTGGGTTAGTAGGTTGTAATTTGTAGAGTGATTAGGGAGCTACGGGTTGCTGGGAAGTTTAGAGAACTGCCGTGACTCCTGTCTGTGTAGGTACCTGAAAGATGATAGTAAGGTAGTGGTAAAGGAATGAAGAGAGAATAAAGAAGAGAGTGAAGTAGCACCATAGAGACTCTGGGAGCTGGGTTAAGGCCGTATCGCTAACCATCCTTGCCTTTAAACAGGAGTTTACGTAGATAGCCACTCCCCCTCCTGCTCTATGTTCCCTGTCCCTGCGGAAGAGTTCCATGCCAGCAACACGCATCTCTTCGTCGGAGATGTCTGGCGAGAGCCAGGATTCGGTGATGAATATGATGTCGTAGTGCTGATGTTCACGCAGCGTCCTCATTTTGCTACCTTCCCTCTTAGCCCCCTAACGTTGCTGTACATACATATTAGAGTGTGCCTGATGAGAGGGGAGGTCTGGATGTGTATTTTCGCGGGATGAGCGCTTACGTGGTTGTTTTAGCCTCGCCAGTCCTCATAGGACTGGCATTGTTCCGTTTTTTTGTGTTTTGTTCTTAACTTGGGTGGGGGCTGTAGCAGTGGTGGCTTCTTTACTTGATGTATCTAACTCACTGGTCAGCGCCTGTGTGACGACCACTGACTCCAGAGGTCTTGGTGGTTGCCGTCTCTCCTCTTGCCTTGTGGGTCTAGGCTTACTTTCACATATACGTATTGAGCCACCCATGCGATCCTTCGCATTATACCATGCGTGCAGAACGTCTGTGAGGGAGGCATATGAGTCGAACTGGACGGCAAGTAGTCTGGGATTGGGTATGGTCTTCAGGTGCGCTGGCCTTGGCAGTCTACTGACGCTGTTGGCCGGTATACTGTTGAGACCAACTTTGGTTGAGAGCCATTGCCATTGTTGGACGTCGTGAAAGTACCGATCTTTGACCGAGCTGTCACTTGGCAATTCTGGAATCCCATGTACAACTATAGTGTTGTTTCTGTTGGGATTTCCAACCGCTGACTTTCTCTCCTCCTCTCTTAATGACCATGGCTTGTCAGGCCTGGCCCGAATTTTACAGGCATTAACAACGTCCGGTTGTCGCGAGAGAGGAGTGTGTCTTCAGCCTCTTTGGCGGTATTTAGGGACACACGTAAAGGGGGTGGCTTATCTCGGGGTGCATGGCTTCCTCGAGAAAGGCGACATAAAGTTGCAGGGAGGGGAGGGAGTCCCAGCATCTGACAGTAGTCGGTCCACATTCGGCTGTCAAATTGTTCCCTCTCGACCAACAATGAGTCTGTCGATACATCGACGTTGAACAAAATGATCGAGTTGGTCCTCCTGTGACCTGGGTTCGTTGTGGGTGGCACGCCCGACTTCCCAATGGGTTTGAGTAATTCCACTGGTTGTTTCTCAGTCACGGTGTGTGGGGTGTTCGGAATGGGTTTCGTAGAGGCTTCGGCGGTCGATGTCTTTGGCCATGCGCTTGACGTCCCCTGGGGCCGGGTAGGGGGTATGGAGACTTGACCTAATATGGTCCCCACGCGAGGTGGCGTGCCCACAGCTGGAGCTCTAGGTCTGTTTCCAGGTCTCTCTGTGTTATCCTTTGGTGTTAACCCTACTTTATTCGAGGATGCTGGTAGCTTTTGCGTGGCGGAGAGCATCTCCTTCAGGCTTTCTGTGCGGAGTGCGGGCATTTTCCTGCACTCTGGACAGATGTACCAGAACCACTTGCATGGTTGTCTCTTCATCAGCTTATAGTATTGTCGGGGGACTTTGGTATCGCAGTGGCAATGCACCCATCGTTGACATAGGTTGCATGCAAATGCCTCATCGACTACCGAAACAACTTTGGTGCAAACACTGCAGCCATCGGGTGTCGTAATACAGCCTTCCTTCCATGAATAAGGTGCTACGGATTGTGGCGAACTGCTTGTGGCTGCCTTGTTCTGAAGCCTTTTACGTCGTCTTCTATTTCAGGCATGGTATGATCCTTGCTCAAGATAGGACTAGTTTGTGACGGGCTAGTGCTACTCTGTGTCACCTGTCTGATGGCGACTGGAATTCTAGAAACATGGGTTGGCCACTTTTTAGAAGTTCGGTGTTCTGCCCTACCTCTGTTTGTCTTCTAGTACAGACTAGTGTGTTGTTTAGGGTGTTACTGGCCGTTTTGTGCACGACCGCGTTATCCGTGTCAAAGCTTCAGACCTAGCGTTTTGGGCAGACATGTCGCTATGATATAAACTTCTTGGGAAAACAAGTAGTTAACAACAATAAGAGGGTTGAAGACTGAATGCAGGAAAAGGACAGAATAGAAAAGGGAAGATAATTTATGTTGGCTCACCTTCAGACACTTGTCACTTGATCCTCTGCTCTTGACCAACGAGTTTAACCGTAAGCTCCAGATGCGTATGTATAACCAGGAAAGATATTTCCTGGGGAATGACCTCCGAGGAGAACCGAGAGCTAAGGCAGTTTGGCAGTTGAAACGCCCAAGAACCACTGACAGGAGGTAGACCGGTTGGTTCAAAGGAATAATAATGCCAATTTTCAACTGTTGAGGAGTGAGCTGACGAATGCGCAGGGGTGAGGTGCGTGGACGGACAGAAGTGCTGCAAACGTTCGATGTTTTTAGATTGAGTATTGCAAGTGGGAGTTTTTCATTGTGGAAAAATCCAAAAGCTGAGAGACGAGCGAAACACGTCGCTACCCAAGGAGCGCGCCAACGGTTTGGTTTGGTATGATCAAGCCACTAACATTAAGTCAGGCTCGTCTCTCAGCTTTTGATTGTTCCACATTGGGAAACTCCCAATCGGAATACTTGGTCTATGAAAACCGAACTTTTACAGTAATCCTATTCCTGCACGCACTTCACCGCTGCGTATTCGTCAACTCACTTCTCAACAGTTGAAAATTATCATTATTGTTAACATTATTATTATTTCTTTGAACCGACCAATCTATCTCTAAACTGCGTTAGCTCTTGGTTCTCTTCGGAGGCCATTCCCCAGGATACATCTTTCTTGGTTTTACATACACATCTGGAGACTACGGATAAACTCGTTAATCAAGAGCAGAGGAGCAAGTAACAAGTGTCTGAAGGTAAGCCAAGGTAAATTGTCTTCTTTTAAATATTCTGTCCTTTTACTACATTCAGTCTTCAACCTCCCTATTACTGTTAAATGTTTGTTTTCCCAAGAAGTTTACATAATAATTCCGTAAAATTTATGTCCTACGGTTTAGTGATATTTAACGCTGGTGCCAAACTTCACAATTTCAAGAGGCTTGCTTGTCTGAAGGCAAGTAACCAATAAGTAGACGTCTCAAGTGACTGTGGTCAACCGATCACTTGTCTGAAATGCATGACGAAAGCAAAAACCTATTTTTAAACATGACTCACCAGTCTCACACCTCAACAAAAACGAACACGTAACCTGTGGCCGTAAATTCAATATACACAAGATTGTACGGCATTTTAAAACAAGTTCGTCTGGAAGAATTTCATTTCTCGAACCTCTTGTCCTTTGATCTGTGTATCTATTAGTGACAAATGCTATCTAGTGTTTAATGGTGACTTTTTTAGTGGTTCGATTTTCTGCTAGTCAAGTGGTTCAATTGGTGATGTTTCAATGATAAAAGAGAGAAGCATTTGCAAGAAAATATCTTAAAATAGTCCAAGAGCCAGTCAAAAAGCACACCATAATGTCGAAACAGTCATACTAAGATAAAAACGTTTCGTGCAATATAAGTGATTTCTTTGAAACCCATAGGATAGAGGTTGCTAGCATATATAAGTATTTAGAGTTTCTCCGGAAATCAGCATCTCTTTCCACTCATGTTTGTGCAGTGAAATTGTGGATCACTGGCTGAGGTTGTATTTCACTCTTGTAAAGATTCGAAGAGAGCTTCGGAGAGAGGGCAACTAGTTAGTCACGAAGATATGTAGTACAGTTTCTAAGATTTGTAAAAGGTAGGGCGTATTTCAGCCAGAATGAAGATCCATGCTACCTGTCTTCGCTTTCGAACCTTAAGTGTATGTAAGTGTACGTAAATTGTGTCGCAGCTCTTCCCTGGCACTTACGAAAAGAGGTTCTTTATCAGCATACTTCCCAGTGCCACAGATGAGGTATACTCTTAAATTTCACCGCCTCCTAACAGAGACCAATGGTTTATATGTCAAGAAGGGAAAGTTCGTAAAAAACGAATTCCGAGAAACATCCATTGGTAATTTTTGGAAATAATGTTTCCATTTGCAATTGGACATTGGTAAGTGCCGCGTTGTCCCTGAAGTATTCGTCACGCGCGCTCCTTGGATAGGGTTGTTCTTTCGCTCGTCTCTCAGCTTTTGGATTCTTACACATCGAAAAACTCCCACTTGGAATACTCAGTCTATAAAAAATCGAACGTTTGCAGCACTCCTATTCCTGTACACACTCCATCGCTGCGTATTCATCAACTCACTTCTCAACAGTTGAAAATTGGCAATATTATATCTTTGAACCGACCAATCTGCCTCCTGTCAGTGGTTCTTGGGTGTTTAAACTGCCAAACTGCCTTGGCTCTCGTTTCTCTTCGGAGGTCATTCCCCAGGATACATCTTTCTTGGTTTTACATACACATCTGGAGACTACGGATAAACTCGTTAATCAAGAGCAGAGGAGCAAGTAACAAGTGTCTGAAGGTAAGCCAAGGTAAATTGTCTTCTTTTAAATATTCTGTCCTTTTACTACATTCAGTCTTCAACCTCCTATTACTGTTAAATGTTTGTTTTCCCAAGAAGTTTACATAATAGTGACATGTCTGCCCAAAACGCTAGGTCTGAAGCTT